GCAGACAGGGAGTTGAAGTCTCCAAAACGATGATGACTTCGTCAATGTTCATTGCCGTCACGAATTTTCTCTCTGTCAGAGCGATTAGGTGCTGACTATTATGCACTTTTGGTGGTTATTTTATCAGTTCGTCAATTATGGAAGCAAGACTTGTGCATGGAAACCGCAGTTCTGGCTCCTCCAATTCACGCTCTCCATGAACTATCCACGAGTGAATGAATATCCGTGCACGACCAACGTCTTGTCCCCCTTCTGAAAATGCACGTTTTGCATGTTGGTCGTGATTACTGCCCCATCTCAACTGATGAATTTGTGGATCAAACCACCAACCCTGGCTGATGCCGACGGGTGATCGGTTGACAAGACAATATAGGATGCCCCAAGGATTAAGGCAGGGACGTAGCCAGGGGGGTTGTCCTGGGTGTCTGGACACCCAGAAATGAAACACGATTTCATGAAACAAGGAGTATGAGAGTTGGGGAGGGGGGGAGGGGGGGGGGGGGCACTTCATCATCTCATGAGCCTGAAAGAGTCTCACAAGACACTCCCCGAAAATAATTCCTGGCTACGTCCCTGGATTAAGGAGAAATCTGCTCTCCTTCCTTATATGAGAACCCAAAGAAAAGGATAGCCCGGAACTCATTCAGATGTCGACTTCCTGTTAGTACGACATTGTCCCGTGCTTTGACGCGTTTAGTATTGTAAATATCGACATTATGCCCAAACGACGTTTGTGCATACTACATTGCGTTACATTCGAATTTTCTACGAGTCGGCATAAACTATGACGGCGTTCTTGCTTTCAAAATTACATTACAATACCCCAGCGAGAAGCAACATTCACGTTAGTGAGAGGATGCACAAAAACGATGTTCTCGGTGATCTGTACGTGACGCTTGGATGGGCAAGCACAGCTTTTTACGTAAACCGTACACGAAGTGTAAATAGAAAAGCTGCCCCACAAGAAGTTTCCATATCAAACTCGTCAGTCGTCAGTCCTTTGTTCTTCGAATGCACCACAGCAGGTATCTACCGTGTCTTTGGAGACATCTGACGGGAAGGTGTTGAATGAGGCAGCCGAGGGAAGAGCCGATAGAGTTCGTGGAAGAGTCCCATTCCGAGCAGAGCCAGAGCAGCGAAGGTGAGAGAGCGTGGCGTGGGGTTTTCTCTCATAACGTTCCTCACCGGTGACGTCATGTGTGAGTGTGTGCTGTGTGAGCAAGGATCGCACCTGGCCTAGGGCCTGGCGGGCGTTGTCGGTCCTCGTTCGTTGAGTCACACTCTGTCAGTCCTCTCCTGCAATCCGCATCGCCACATCATCAGAATCGTCGACGGCTTCCCAGGTTAGCGCTAACTTCTCTTCGTCTCCCGATTGCATACCAGGCGTGGAGTGAGGCACGCAGAACGCGGAACTCGTCCCCATTGTTCCCCAGCTTTTCTCCCTCGCCATTCACAGTTACCTGAAAGGAACCTTTTCATTTTGTTTACATCCGAAGAGCATGAAAGGGCAGGAACCCCGAGGGAGAATTCGGAACAGATTTCTGTGCGGCAGGAAGTGAAGCGCATCTCTCGCCCTTTCTTCCCCTGTTTTTTTTTTTTTTTTTCCTTCTTTGCTTCCTCCCATCACCCGGGTGAGAGGAGAAGGGAGAGACGGGTATCTGCTGCAGGTATATAGATAAGAACGTCATGCGGGTAGATACGTATGTAGGACTGGGAACCGGAGAGCGGAAATCGTTGGTTACTAGGGTAACTTCCCCCTCTTTTTCCAACCTCTGAAGCTTTGATCTCTCTTCTGTGTGTATATACTGTGAAGTAGCCTATAGGGCCAAGCTTCCCCCGAGGGGTCGTCTTTGTCCGCATTCTGTACTGGCAGATGGTCGTCGGCACAAAAACAGCAGAGAAAGGAAGTCCAGACTCGTGCCACCATAAGCGTAGGGCCCTAGGCCGATGCCTCCTCTTCTGCTAGGCGTTCACGAAAAAGCCTTCCCTACTGTGAGCCTACGTAAGACAGTAAGGAAAGGCCTCCGGTGGATCCATGCCAGAATGTATCCATGCCCATGGGTGGAGCATCTTTTCCCCTCCAGGATCCAGCAATTAATAATAATAAAAATAAAAGCTCAATGTATATTCTCGGCCCCGAGGGTGGAAATGACGTCATTACGGGCCAGGCCCTGGCTCCTCTGTGCATGATTCATTCAGGAGAAGAAAGAAGTCCATTGTCATTACAATTGAAAAGAGGGAGAGAAAGGTCCCATGTCCTCCCCTCTCCTTTCCTTCTGTCTTGTCTTTTATGTCTCCTGTCCCTGACTGTACCGGGTTCCTTCGTTTCTTCGAGTTCAACGACTCTGTGACTATACGTGAATTTTTTTTCTACTCTCAAATACCTCCAAGTTTCTATTTTGAATGGTGAGAAGCGTAATTATGAGGGAAGGGGCACGTGCGACACAGCGTCTCTCTTCTCTTGTGGATTCACATGGTAATTGGACATTTGCATGTCAACTCTCCTCGGCTCATGAATTATGGAAACGGAGATTCACAGCCGGGGTGAGGCGACACGCACACTTCAAGTAAGCAAAAAAACCCAATGACCTAAGCGGTGGCGAGTTTGGACATGCGCTCATCCGTTGGAATTCTGACAATCAAAAGAGGGACATCATGGGAGGAGGTAGGCCTAGTTATTCAGGCGCACGTGAGAGGGGATCGGGTTCACTCCTCCCCACATGACCGGGAATACAGGAGTCATCCGATATTCAAAGCCCTTCTGGATCTCCTTTCAAAAAAAAAAAGTCACGCCAAGGCCAGGAGGGAGGTACAGTGGAAACAGGGAAATATGCGATCTTTGCGGTTAACTCCATTACCGTATCACTTTGTGGAAGGCCATTGAACTCAGAATCAGGGAAATGTCCTTTTCCATTGTCGAGGAAAAGGCACGCGGTCGTTTGTGTTGGACGACTACAGGAAGTCCTGTTGACGTTCCCCCCCCCCCCCCCCCACCCCACCCACACCCTAATTGATCGGTCTGGGTGTCATGCCATCTGGTTCGAGGAGGTTAAGGGCACGTGGACAAAGGAAGAAGTGATGAAAAGAGCAGCTGTCCTCGTCTGTTTTTAAAGACATAAGATCTAGGTAGATGAGAGTAGATATCGGCGACTAAGTTACATTGGACAACGAGGAAGGAAGGGAGGAAAGAGGAAGAAGGGGATGGACAAGAAAAAAAAGGGAGGGGAGGGGGAGGAGAAGGCAGCTGGGTCTTCCCGCCTTCCTTCCTTTGTCCTCGAGCGCGGCCACGGCGTAGAGTCTCTGCGGGCCTTCCCGACTCCATTAACGGTACCTCTTCCGAATTGTAATGAAACTCCCCGCGAAGAGTTACCGAGGAGGACTCTTCTCATGGTTAACGCACACACTCATGCTCGCACTCGTGCCTCCTCACGCACATTCTCCCTCCCTCGGTTGGGCTAGGCCTCAGTCAGCATCAGCAGTCTGCACTGCATTGCTTTTCCTTCATTTTTTTCCTCTGGGCCCACTTTCTCACACTCACATGTGCCGCGTTATCGAACGATATCTTCTCAACACGATAGGGGCCATATTCTGGGAATTCATACATGTGGGTGTATGCGTGTTTATCATCGCCTTTGTGTTTGAGGGATTGTGAGTGCATACACCGAGGCAGAGCCAGTGCGAGGGGCTGTGTAGATGGCTTGCCTCGGGACCCGGACGACGAGGAAAGAGTGAAAGAATGGGAAGCGACGTCTGTGGTGATTACATAATCATCGTATGTCGTATGACAGGTGATGGAGACATTGATGGATTGGGAGCAGCCATTCGACCGTCTGGTCTGGTTATCTCTCGAGTACGAAGACTTCATTCCGGCCTTGGCCCGCAGTCCGATCACCCTACTGTTCGGGACACGGCTCTATTCGGCCTAGCATATAAGCTTATATGCCTCTACTTCCATTGCGAAGGGAGAGGTTCTACTCAACGGTGAACTGGATCGTGTGAGTTACGAGGACGTAGTGAATGGAAATGGCTGGGGAAGAATGGAATTTTTTTTCTCTCTCTCCTCTTCCCCATCGGGGCTTGCTTGGCTTTAACCAGGTGTTTCCCCTCACTCGGTCCATTGTTCTCTTGTTTTCAACCCGTTCCTCCTGCCCACTTTATGGAAAATGACGTCCAGAGCGGTGAAAAAAACATGCCGATGTGAGAGAGCGAGTGTGTGTGTGTGTGTGCCCGCAAAGAGCGAATATGTCCTTATCTGACAGGACTTCCGGATGAGATCCACATGACTTGTCCTCGCCTTTTCCGGCCATTATTTTCCCCCTTTTTCGCTGCCATCGACATCCCGTTGGAAGAGACGGGGATTCACGGTTGTCAGCCGCGCGTTAGGAAAGCTGATCTTATGGTTATGCCGAATATCACTACCCTGGTGACTCCATGATACAATTTGTTCATGCTTTTCTTGTTCCGATCGTATATACTGTACTTAGCTCATTCGTGTGTCAGCAGGGAGGAGGCGTGAAAATGGTGAAACAGAGACAGGCGTATACAGGAAGGAAGCATGGGTGTGGCATATCCGGACTCGGACTGTGCCGATGGTGGGTTAGGCCGTGACCGGAGGCAGTATCATTCCTCATCACTTGGATATTGCACTTGTCCCGGCCTAGTCTCCATCGAGCCACTTCGTCGTGTTCAATCATCGTCATGCTACTTTCAGCGGAGAGAGGAATTGGTTCTCGGGCGGAACTGGATGCAATCTTCGTTGGAATGGATCGAATTGCACTGGTCCCGGCCTGCCTGCCGCATTCCTCATCACTTCGACTCGATCCCATCGAGAAATTTCCTTCATGATGCTGGATTATACATAAGCTGTAAAGGTAGTCTCTCAACTTTCCGAAATTAGCAAATTTTCATCGAGGTTCTCTTCAGTGCAGAGGTCATCTGCTCAGAATCTTTAATATGAACACTTATTCATTTTACATCTTGATAAAATAATACCGACTTAACGTCAATATTTATTTATAATTCTCATGGTAAAGGTAACAGGAGCTCATTTGCTCAATAGTTGAATACCGGTATATATAAATGATCACAATACATACTTCACAATCGTGAGATGATGCACATGGAATGGCTGAAGTCTAATGACTAGGTAGATCTCTAATAAGGAATCTGGTTCTGATAGAACTGAAGCATATCGTAGGTGCGAGTTCGGATGCTGAGGAAGGAGCTCCGGATCACTTGGATCATGTGAACGGCTGCCTCTCGTTCGGACATATTGGGATTGAACCTAGCCCGAAGTTGCTTGATGGTCTGGCCTCGGAAACACGGCAGTCCTGTATCCAGCATCAGACTCACCAGGGAGATGATGTCCTCACTGTAAGGCCTGCAGAGGTAAACACGTTGAGGTTGGCCATGGCCAACGAACAGATACTCTCCAAATGCTCTTGTTCTCACCTGACAGCGAGATACATCTGGATGCAGAGTTCCATGAACCAACGGAATGGGGCTGCTTCCATCTTATCCCCCATGATCTTCACCATCTCATCTGTGAGCTTGATATCTGGTTCAAACCCCAAGTTCCCTCCTGGGCTGCTCTCAAACATGAAGCCAAAGTCTGCCAGAGAAACAAAATACTATTAATGTTAAAATAGATGATTCCTTGCCCAGAGGATCAGTTTTAAGTAAGGCTCTGGAGTTCACTGAAACTGACCAAGAGCCAGGATTTTGCCAGTCACTGATATTCTGAATAAAATAATGGGAAAGTTATGGATGAAAACTGGAATAAAATTCACACCTGAAATGAGTTAAAACCAGACTTTTCCTTCCTTCCCCTGTAAAGCAAACATGCTCTTGATGTCATTTCTTTGGCTTTGTTGCCTTCAGTGTGGAAGAAATAACATTTTCTTCCAAACTCATTTATAACAGAAAGAAAAAGTGGAATCCCATTCACTGCTTCCATTACCATGATTGTCACTGTAGTTTGAGTGCAATCGCCAACACAATGCCAAATCAATCATAACATACAGTGTCTTCAAGTCACTTCCAAGGGGTGTATGACACTCAAATGTAAAAACCATGCACCACATGCAAGTGAAACTTGGGGAAAAGTATCATATCAAGGGAGAACATTATACATTACATGAAAAACACACATTCCTCATAAAGGGTGCTGCTGATGCAATGTCATTTGCTTACACAGCAGGTGCATATGTGTTTGTAAGTACAAAACTAATACATGTCATGTTGCCTCTACATTGAATCCATTCAAGCAACTACATTGAACAAGAGCACTTTGATTTTTACAGATTAGCATCTTTTCAGACTACTGGAGATGTAATTTCATTATGGTATAGTTTTACATGCCTGTCCTATGGTTGCATCTAGTCTTGTATGCAAATGTTGGATTAGCAGTGCACCCTACATAGCTTGTGTTAGTTTCATGTAACCTCCCTCAATGCTTATTGATATGACTCAAAGTTTCACTGGTCTACAGAGCAACAGAGCAGTTTTCATGCTTGAGATACACACCTGTCAAGTGACCTAATACTAACCCACTGGGTCCCATAGCAAAAGTGTAATGTAAATATATACCAAGGAATTTAGTATTTATTTGTTTCTATTAGACCCTATAATAAATTCCACCTAAACAGTGGTTCTACAGAAAATTTTATTTTTCAAATTGAAAGCGCCTTTCAATCAATACTCCGAAGTGAAAGGCATAATGAAATTTCTTTCCCAAAGCAAAACTCTATAACTACAGCAAAATACTTCAATCTCTTGAGGACTGGTAAAAAAAAAATTTCCATTTGCCAAAAAGCCCATAGTAGGAAATATGGAAAGTGTTGATTCATTTCTGCAATTCCAGATATTGCACTCAACTGCAATTATGTAAAATTCTGATTTTCAAATAACCTTAGTGTGCAAGAGATACAATGGAAATTGAGACTCTGAGACACAATAAAGGAAGCGTTACATCATGGGACATAGCTGATGGTTCAGCTAGTCATGATGACTCAATTCTTTCTGTCATGATCTACAGGCATTTCAGTATGAAGTCATGGAACATGAGGCTAGGACTTAAAAATTAGTAGCAAGCTTCAGTCATGTGTATTCTTTATTTCTTCTGCATGCTACAGCATGCAGAAAGTAGTTGAAAGTATCCTAATCTTGAAATCATTAGTAACTGTTAGTAGTGTGATATTAACTTCAATAGCATAACTTATCCCATAGTCTATCATCCACTCAGATACCTGACAAATTATAGCATGATTTACACATACCAATGTGTATGATGTGACCATCAGCATCTAGCATGATGTTTCCATTATGGCGATCCTTGATTTGCAAGAGATAGCCAATCACACTGTAGGCTGCCATGCTCTTAATGAAATTTCGCCTGGCACGCTGAAACTCCTTGCTGCTCTCTTCACCATATTTCTGGAAAACAATGCAGAAAGCAAGGACATCTGGGAAGTTCTAAGGAGAGGTAGAAAGTGCTGGAGGTGGACCTACCTTGAGGAAGTAGTCATACATGGAAATGTCAGTTTGCCTTCCAAGTTGATCACGAGATTTTGCATTTGGTACACATTCAATAACTCCACAGCCTGGACCAGTTGCCACCACACGGTATGGGAAGAGAAACAAGTCCAATCCCACCTGGACAAGCATATATTCAATATATACATACTCAGAAGAAATACCACAAATAAAAGCATGGAAGTGTTGCAAAAAATCACTGATTCTCTCCAAACTCTGTTGGCAAGTTCACTCACCTATTTTCTGGATATTTCAATATTTTCACTCTTAATAGTTGTACTTAAGTGGTATTGCTCACACATTAATAAAAATCAGAGACCTAAGGCCTAACAGATGACAAAACATACAATGATGGCAGTCATCTGCTTGCTTGTCCTTGAAAACTACTTGCCCACCACCAAAATTTTAGTCTTTGATGACATGTCTGTCTCCTGCCACAAGCTAACTCAGTTTGAATTCTTATAATTTATGATGGCACCAGACTAATAACTTTACTTTATTTTTGTTACCTCAAGTAATGATTTAAACTGCAACATAAAATGTGAGAAATGGGACTAGTATCACCATGCCTTGATAGCATCAACTTGCAGTTTTCCTTATTAGTCCATTTTCCCTAGCCATTCTCTCGGAAAATGAAATTTCCATTCAATAAGATGCTCCCTAAGTTATGACTTAGCAACAAGCAGTTACTAGGTCTCAATGTTACTTCTGCTGTGAAAGGATTCAAATAGCAATGTGTGATTCTGATCCAAACCCTGAGGAATTTTTAGTCGTATTTCCAATTCTTACCTAAGAGATTGGTAATATCTCTTGATATAAGGCTCGTGATATAGACCCCTTCAAAAGTCTTATTTCCAAAACAACTGACATACATAAGATGACAGAGACATTGACATCAGTATTATCTTCATATTGTAACTTTGACTCTATTATCATAACATGGGGTAAAACCTGTTTGAATAGCTAAATTGGCCAAGCCTCTTTCACTCTTCATGTTTAAAAAAATACAAGCTGGATGCATATTTTTTGGTATCGAAGCATGATATGAGTAGGCACAAGTGTAATGAAGATGTTATCCTTCCAAGCCTCACTATTTCCTTTAGTGCATATTATGTGGATGTCTGAAATGTCACATTTGTATATATGCATCAGCTTAATGTATCAACCTAAGCATATCAATTGACACGCACCAATCAAACGCTTGAACAAGTTGGTAAAATTGTCTTTGGAGACTTTGCCTAGGCATGGCTTCAGTTAGACACTCAACAACAGCAAAACAGCAAAGGTGCTCAATGAAAAAAGCAAAGGAAACTTGTATGTTCAGTGGTGCCACCATCCATTCCATGTGCATTTTGGCCAGTTTTCTCTGTATCGTGATCATATAACATATGAATTTTGCTTGACTTCTTTACACAATGAGAGTTCCCATTCCACATTCCATTAATAAACTCCTGGGTGATTGTTTTGGGCCATTAGTATGAGCCCATTTAAATTTGAATCTTTGGCAATTTTCCTCTGATTATTCATCATGTCCTCTTGAAACTCTAATGGATTTCATGACACTGAAAGTAACTGGTGAAAAGCATAGAGTGGCACATGGTAAAACCAAGTGAACTCCCAGGTGGACACCAGAGGTATGGCTGGTTGTTGCTGCCAAGAATGCAGCCACATCTCCAGGGTTTCTGCATTTTTGTGAGAACTCTGGGGAACTGTGGTTGCTGAATTTGACATTTCCAAGGATGCAAAACTTTCACTTGACACTATGACATAATGGGGTACCTTTTGCAGGACATTTTTTAGTAGAGCAATTATCTGAAGGGCAAGGACATCCTGTCGCAGATCATCAGCAACCTTGAAGATGGCAGCCTGCCAGTAGTCTGGCTTTGCTGGAGGGACCCGTAGTTCACCTGCATGCATTCCTGCATATTCCAGCTCTCCAATCCCACATGGTCTCACTCTGAATCGTGCCAGAAATGGAGCCTTGGCAGCACTACCCGAGTTCAAAAACATAGAAATTTAGAAACCATCATGCACCTGCCAAGTATTCACACATTATAAGACATAGAAAGACCTTTGCATGGGAGTGGCTGACTTATAGTCAATGTCAAGGACTATGGCTTCTGGGTTAGATGGCAAATAACAGCCTGGTTGGACCTCTACTTTTGACAGAGCTTCAAGGCATGCCTTCTTCCTCTCTGGGCCTGAAAAGACAAATTAGCTATTCAAACAGGTTTTACCCCATGTTATGATAATAGAGTCAAAGTTACAATATGAAGATAAAAAAAAAAAAAAAAAAAAAAAAAAAAAAAAAAAAATATATATATATATATATATAAAATTATATTCATAGTCATTGAAACTATAAATATCTCAATTTGAAATGAAAATGCAGATAAATTCAACCTTTAGGGTATTGCTTGATCTGTCCTGAGATGGAGGTGATGCGATTGAAGAAATCAAACTCCCTCTCATAAAATTGTCGTGCATCTCCAGATGAATTATCCACTATCTCTTGGATCAAATGGTTGAGAAGATCATACAGATCCACTACAAAGAAGAAAAGATATGACAAAAAAAATAGACATTTATGAATGAAGAAATTAGGAGTTAATACAACTCACCATCTTTCACTGTCCCCTCTTCATCTGAGTACATGTTGGTTTGCATGTTCCAGATCAATTGATGACAGATTAGTTGAGAGGAAGCAGCTGCAGACAATAAATACTGGGCAACAAATCCCATCTGAAAAATCCAGGTACTAGTTGAGTTAATCATCTCATAGTGAAAGCAAGAGATGGCTTGTAAAGCATAAAAGACTAACAGTGTCATATCGAAGAGCCTGGACAAGTTGAGCTATATAAAACATCATTGTGGATGGAGGATATGTGGACAGGACCCTCACAGCATACTGAGCTGTGATGGGGTGTGGAGGGTATTGACGAGAGAAGAAACTGATTGCTCGGATAGGAACTGATCTTGACCATGTCAGCAGGTAGCTCAGCTGGCAATTTATCAGCATCATCATGCTTATTTCCTTTCATATGTGGAAAACCAAGAAAGCAGGAAGATCAAGTGCTACCTCAGGATAATCATTGACGATAGAATCAGCTGTGACAAGATACTGGAGTGCCTCTGGGATGTGAGACACCAAAATGGGATTCCCTCGGACAAGACGTCTCACCTCCCTATCGATCACTTCGCTGTGAGGCTTAAACCTGAAAAAATACATATCTTGCATTTCAAACATGATTAACATGGGATTCATTAGTTCAATTGAGAACACTGCACACCTGGATGACAAGAAGACAGCGAGGGCTGGGTTGACTTCCCAAGCCATGTGGACGTATTCCTTCCATGTCTTCTCAGTCACTGGGTTGCTCCTCCATGTTGAGATGCTTTCCTGGCCTGGGATATTTTGCTCTACCAGCCCCAATGGATTGTGCCATGTTATCAGCCATTCAATTTCCACAGCCTTTGTCATGGAATGGGAATGTGCTTCAATTTGCCACATTGACTTAAATATAGACAATATAAGGGAATCCTCACTAAAAGTGATAGAATGAGATTGCGTTTCTTGAGATAATCCTTGACAAAAGCATCAGCTGCTTGTCCTGCAGGCCCTTTCCCAGATCGACTAGTTTTTCCACCAGACTTTCGAGACAATGAGGTAGGTGCATATGATGGGACAGTGTTGATCCAACCAGAGCTCCATGATGGATTTCCACCCAAGGATCCACCTCCCCCGATGCGAGATGCAGAACTGCCACGTGCACCCACACCCATCCCTCCCATCTCAAAGTCTTTTAAGAATCATAATTGTTATATTAGAAAAGAGATGTCAGAGTGAAATAAAGAAGAAAGGTGCCAGTACCAATACCAGCAATCAAGGAGGTTTTGAGATATTTCTTGTCAGAATGCATTGCCTGCCAGAAGCGGATCAAAACGAGGACATCTTCACGCAACCTCCCCCCTTTCTGCTCAGGTGTAGGGCATTGCATTGGTTCACAGAAGTAATCTAGGGCAGCATAATAAACCCGTTCCCGTAGGGCATTTTTACAGATGCTCCTTGGTAAGATGTCTCCTTGTAAGAGTGAAAGGCCAGCTGATAGCAGGCTGTGAAGTGGAAACAACCATGAGCTTCAGCCTTAAAATTAAATCCAGGACCAACCAAGAGATATTCTGACCTGAAGCGGGGTCCAACACATGCAACATGTCGGTTCTGGTGGGAATTGAAGGATCCTTCAAAGGTATGTAAGGTGCGATGAAGCATTTTGGCAAAAATTTCCACTTGATCCTGGCTGTAGTATTTCACCATCTCAATTCGTTCACACAGGAACTACATGCACCATTCACAACAACATCTTACAAATTAGAAGCTTGATGGAGGAAAGGTAAGAAGTGAAAACATTTAATTTTAAAATCCTGATGAGGATTTATTGACTATCTTGATATAGGGCAATCTCCAATCAGGAAAAGGGGTAAATGCATAATTCCATTTTTCCATATATCTCAATTACTACAATGAGTTCACTCTACTTCTCAATGTGACTGACAAATGGATTGAATAGCCTATATATTAAGGGAAATCTCCCTGTATCAGGGATATCATCACCTTGATCCAGATGCGATGAGGAGTGACATAAGGAGGATCAGGTTTCAAAATGATATCTTCTGATGTAGCCATGGGGCTAGGACTGGCCTTGACTGGTGTGAAAAGCCCCAAGCCCCTAGAGACACTTGCCTGAAATCCACATCAATCACATAATCATTCTTATTCTTTTCCTTAGGCACATATAGAATAGAAATGTGAATTCATGACTGACATGCCAAGCAGTAATCATTTCCTGAAGGAACACCTGCTCTAGATCTGGTCTTGCAGAAAGAAGCCAAGTCCAGCAATGAACTGAGCATTCAGCTGCACTCACAGTGAAGAAGTCAACTAATGATGAGCAGACAGCATACAACAGCCCACGATGCACCTCTATCGCATTTCAAGATTCCACATTTATTTATACAGGGAGAGTAGAAAAATGTAAGAACATATGGAGTGAATACATACGATCATGAGCAATGATCATGGCAGTGGCCCTCCACAGGGTTTCTTCATGTCTTGCCTTATTCCCCTGAATGCAAGCTGCCTTCAAAGCTGCTATCAAGCTATGGATCACATTCATACGACCCTTCTCATTTGCAACTGCCAAGAGGATACCTAGAATCTCTCCTGCATAACGACTTCGCAGGGTCATTGTTGCAATGAAGGATGCAGTGTTGTTCTTGACACAGTTTGGTCGCTTTTCTAATGCACTTTGCTGTAGATATAAACAGATAACAATTTTTTGCTAGTCAGTTTGTTACGTACCATATGCAAAAAAAAAATGAAGGAGACAGACAGAGAGAGCTTCAGAGGTTGTGTTGAGTCCAGCAGAAGCAAGGACACTCTCTGTGGCAAGTGCCAAGCCGGCATGGGGTCGAATTGTACCCTGGGGCAGTCCAGGGACACTAGTCTTGTGATTGAGATTAGTGGTAAGGATACTCCCACGCATGTCAACATGAGCAAGGGCAACTTCCCGTGATGGTGTGATGTACTCTTGGAGGTGGGAGCGAGTGACATGAGGAGCCCAGCGGATTGCCTCTTGGATGATTCCTTGGCAACGAGCTGCAAAGTCCTTCACAATCCCCTACAAGACACCCACTTTTACCATTAATTTCATCACATCCCTGCTCCTTGGATACTGGAATTGTATTAAGCAACAGAAATCATCCATGCATTGCATCATGTGACAAAAATGCACAGGAAAAAAGTGCCATCACTCCATGCAATAACAAAAAAAAACCACATTGCTCCTATATCTACATTTATATAAAAAATATTACATGTTAAAACTGTCAGTGTACAAAATAAAAAAAAATTTACTTAGTTTCTTGTGGTATTAATGAACAATACAGCCATCTGTAGGACTGTTCAACAGTATAGATCAGCAAACAACACAAAAAATAAAAAAAACTCAATCAAACACATCTTCCATAACTCTATTGATTCTATCACTGCATTAGACATGCGGCAATGAAATGTCACATTTTCATTTAAAACCCAAAATTTCAGCAAAGCATTTCTATCACACAGCTCTCCACCTTTTTGCCAATGATCACATTTATAATTTCCTTCATTTTTGTCTCAATTCTTTCTTAGCTAAGATTCCAGATTCCTTTATCAGTAAGAGGTCATATCTCTCTCTTTTTAGAACCACTAATTCCCTCTTTTTTCTACACATAACCTACTGTGCAATGTCTTACCTTGGTTTGAAGCATGTAAATACTCCCTCATCTTGTTACCTGCCATTCATCAAAGCATAATTTTCTGTAAAGGCAACCAGCCCTTTTCCTTTTTTGCATTTAAAAAGTTACCCTTGCTCTGAATCTTTTCATCTGTCAAAGGTCCAGATGCTATTGTCTCATATTTTCAATGAAGTACAAAGATCATCCTCCTTTGCTAGAAAACCATCTCCTATTAGAAAGTTCAAGTTGCAGGGTTTTTTTTTTAAATATCCTCTCCAATTCAGTTCTCAATCAGATAGAAGTCATCCCACAATATAGAATTTTAGTAGCAGTAGGTTTCCAGCATGGAATGAACTGTAGGATGAATTCCATGCGGTCTGTTGTGGGGTAAATTCAGATAAAGAAAGTGGAATTTCATATTCAAAACAGTATTATGCTAAATATGTTGGGGGAAAAGCCAACAACTTCATCCACAATCATGTGAATGAGGAGTGTTGAAAAAAAATGGGAGCAGAAAGGCAGGTTTTCTTAGGTACCCACATAAACAGTATTTATGCCATATATTTCCCAACTCTTGGCTTAGTTCTATGTAAAGATTCATTTAATGGGTGTAAGAGTATTGTCAGAGTTCTGTTGAGAATCAATATTACTCCAGCACAGTTTTCTCAAATGGTGTGCCGTGGCACATGGGTGTGCTGCCAGTAAGGCTTAGGTGTGCTGTGAGATTGACAAAAAAAATTAAAAACCTAAAACTAAAAAAAAACTTAAAAACAAGAGGGAAAGCTATCTCTCAATGGAAAACGAGCTTAGAGTTGCACTATCACACCTCATATCAAACTGCTGTGTTCAGCAAAGCAAGCACAAGTTTCCAATTGAAAGTAAGTAAACGGCTGGGTGTGCAGTGGAAAGTTCAAGTGTCCTTATGTGTGCTGCAAATAAAAAAAAGATTGGGAACCACTACTCTAACATACCAATGACAGATTTGAAGCTCAAGCAAATGAGCTCCATCATGACTTTTTTTTTTTTTTTTTTTACATAATTCAAGAAATCTCCCCTTGAATTCACAAAGCACTAAAGGAAGAATATTATGATGAAGCACCCATGTTTACCTGGAGTTTATTAAATATGGGAAATGCTTCAGATATAGCTGTGAGAGTATCTTTGAAGACCCAAAGTGACCATTTCACATATGCTGTCACAGAGAGGATATGGATTACATGATCATGAAGAAATATCAACTCCAGAGCCAGGAATTTACATGGGAATGGCATAAGAACATTATTACTAGTGTCAAGCTTGCTTGCCATTATATCCCTGACACCAAATAGGCAAGGTAATTTCCACCATTCAAAGACTCTACAAATATTGAGAATGGCTGAGACCTGAAGAAGGAACTGATGGAATATGAGAGCCTGTGCTCCCTCCTTCAAGTATTCCTCTGCCTCTGCAGCATATCCAATGAGCTTCCTCTCATGAAAAGAGCCTAAAATTCCACTAACGATATGGTAACCATGTAGAATTCAGGAGCCAAAGTCTGAATGTACACATCTTGAGAGAAACCTGAGATACCTGTACTGAGGGAAGTTAATAGTGAGCTTCAGTCACAACAGTCACTACAGAGTTCATGCCAAGAGCAAAGTGCATACTTAGTTATACCATAAAATTCCTGAGCTTTTCATTATTAAATTCTTTAATTATATAATCCAGAGGATGACTTTTATGATGAATCCATTGTATAAGTGGGATAGTTCCAGCAAACCTGAGCTAGTCAAACACAGCAAACTCATTCATGGAGACTGACATCTTTGACTATATACACTGAAATGGAAGGGGAAGCTTGATTCCATTGATAATGGATCTCTGTCAGAAGGTTAATGCTAGTAAAGATTACCTAAGAAGATAATGAAATCCATCTATCTACCTTGCAGCCTAATCCAATGAACCTATTCTAATAAGGTTGTTTTATACATTTTTTTTCATGCCAAACACTTCAATGCTGCATTCAGGAGTTCATTCATCAGGAGTGCACCATCTCTCCAGTGTGGTCTGTTCTTCACAAGATTTTATCATCTCTAAGAGCATAATGGTACAAGAGCATGAGTATGACATGTAAGCATGGTGAAGGAAAGACATGGTGCACTCCAAATGGTGAATACACAATCATGCAGAGACATCTGGAGGGAAAAACAAATAAAAAAGAAGGCACACAATCATAGCAGGCTGAACTCACGAGTCTTCACTCTCAGCGCCTACCTCTTTGGCCTGCATGGCACAGACAAGGGCAAGGAAAAAGGAATTCAACTTGAGTCTTAGTCCTTTCCATCATGAAAACAAGAGAGATGCAACAGTACATATATGAAAAGGGTCCATTGTGTGATGTGCTTCCTGTACTAATGTGTCAAGTTGAAGAGGGATGTGAATTGAATTGGAGAATCAGATGTTATTTTATGTGTAAAGGGTAACAATTGAGAAGGATTAAAATCATGTTCAGAGAATGAAAAGAAGAACAATATGACAAAGTATCTTGGACACAGACCTCTCGAGCCTCAAGAGTATCCATGAGGAGAAGAGAGTATGGAGTGTTGGGGATGGACAGCACTGGATTCTCTTCATTGGCATCCAGATTCAGGGATAAAGATAGAACCTGAAGAAGATCCAGCATGGTGTGCAGCACACGACGAGACCACAGCAGATGTGGGAACCTGCAATGCGATGTAATGCAGCATTTCAGTTCATTAATCCTTATGGCTAACCAAGTCCAAGGCATCAGAGAAGAGCAAGTTATAGTACTTGTCTACAAGTCCAGCAAGGTACTTGTCAGCAGCTCTTCGGATGTCTCGGTGATGATGATTGAAATTGACCAATAGGAGCTGGGCATGTGTCTCAAGATCTCTGTCACGTGCTTCACGCTTTGCTTTCCGACTCATCACCTCCAAGAATGTCTGGAACACTGTGTCACTCACACTGGCCAATGCAGAGAAAGTCATTGATAAATGATGAGACATGAAGAAAGAATGAAGCTGAACAAAAAGCATAAATATCAACCAACCAGGAGATGCATTTCCAGAGACCAGTCTTGTCCTTCTGGATGGCTGGGTCACTCAGGTATTCGAACATGGGATGAAAACTTGTCTCTTTTGCATTCTCCACTCTGCAAGAGCGATTCAATTAAGAATCTTGATTATACCTGTAATGACCTTTATAACAAAATGATGAATGTCACAGTAGAAATGGGTGTGACATCTGTCAAAGAGGACAGTCAGCTGTCTCTCTCTGTGGCAGATGGCAAAGGTGTTCATTCTCAAGGCCTGGGGAGTTATTCAAGCCTTCTCACACCTGGCTAGTGAGGAGAATCAAAATGGCCAATACTCGGGTATGCCACTTGGTTTACCTTTCACTTCAAACCTCAAAGGCAACTTCATCTTCAACGATAGAGCACTTACAGATTAAGGAATCAGCTCACAAGGGACAAATTTCCCTATCTAATGCCACCACAAACAGTTATGATATATCTTCTGAGTTTCTCTACCTTTGCTACTCCTTTAAGGTTCTTACTTTCCTCCTACAGTTATGGTTGTCTCAAAATGGTAGCAAAAAGGGCAAGCCCTGTGGAGAGGGAGAAAGGACAGGCACATGTCCCAGCCTTTCAACAACCCAATTTCAGCACTTTCCTCCAATGCATATTATATGTTTCCTCTCCCAGTGCAACTTCCATCAAATTCCATCTATACTTCCCACCCCTCTCATGATTTTGGGTTGGATTACATCTTCTGAAAGGGACTCCTCCCCTGTCAGCCATGCTACTTTATAACAAGCTCAAAGGCAGGCTTATTTCAAGGTGAAATGTTTGTGGTGCTCAAGTACCCTTCAGTGACAGTGCCAGAAAAGAGAAACATAATTGAAATGAGACTCACAGGGGCTTCTTTTTTTTAAAATCATATTGATCAAATTGAGTGTTCACAAATACAACTTGCAAGGCATATCATTTCAAAACTAAAAATGATACGTGAAATCAAAACTGAAATAAAAGTTTTGTGCTACATGAATACCAAGTTCACACATGGGGGACAACATCGTCTTCTAACAAGATGGCGCCCCTGCACATTTCCATAGTGCAATGGCACTTTTCTTGGATAAAAAATTCCCTGGATGTTGGATGGTCCATGGAGGTTCATTTACCTGGGCTCCATGGTCACCAGATCTACCCCTCAGAATTTCTGTTAGTGGGAGTTTGTTAAAGACTATGTATCTCCCTTGCCAACCAGCATCTGAGCTCAATAGTACAATCAAAGCAGTGGTGTCCAATGTGGAAACACATTCTCAAGAAAATTTGGCATGAAATTTAATATCACTGGGATGTGTGCTGAAAAATGTATGGAAGCCACATTGAAAGCCTTTAGGGTAAAACTTGAAGTGAAATACTTCATATTTTGGTTTTTGTTTCACCTTTCTATCATTATTAGTTTCAAAGCAATAAGACTTGCAAGTAGTAAAGAGAACATGTGAAAAACCTGTATTATTTAAAAAAAACTTTAAGAATATGAAACAGTAAAGGTGAAAATTATTCAATCATTTGATTATTTAGCACAATGACCGCCACAGCAATGCTGGCCTATTGATTTTCCCATTCAGTGAGGTGCACCAGTATGTCTTGTGGCAGTCAACCTGTTAAATGGAATTTTTTGAGGACCATTGTTTCCTTAAAGAAATTCTTTGGGATGAACAGCACTAACTCTGGGTTATTGCCACATTCATCAACTGGCACTTAATTGGCTGATACCAAGAACTGCTGGACTCACCTTAGTGTTTCCAGACGAAGTACTGAGAGAACATAAGCACACTGTGGGAAGGTAAGCTTGCTAATCACCTGGCTCACTTCAGATGTAAAGTTATTGAGAAGACTAAGGATCTGATTCTTCAGCTCCTGAAGCTCTGCCTGCAATATTCAAATGAATTGGCCTCATCAGTTTTTTGCTTTGTGATAGGGACCTCAATTTCTGAGTAATTATTATTGAGTGACCCACAGGCTAATCAATTACCAAAAGTATTGGGAAAATACTATAAGAGAATAAGTTCCCATGAAAGTATCAGAGCTCCTCATGTCAACTCTTAACCATATGCTTACCTCTCATCAGGACTTCTATCAAAGTGTAAAAATCCCAAGACTATGATAAGAATCAGTTGGGAACTGGATGAAAAAAAGGGCAACATGTAGAGGAATAAAAAAATAATAATGAAATCAGGATGAGGGAGATGTAAAAAAAATGAAAGGAGGAAAACGGAGAAGAAAGGAGAGTGCAAGTGCTTCATTTCTCTCTCTTTCTAGTCAACATTGAAAAAAAACACATTTCCCATGCCTACAAGACACCATCATCATTTTATGTAGGGGACTTGGGTAGGGAAATAGGGGATGTGATGGTTAACCAAAATTGACTTTTATTAATGGCTAAGGATCAATCAATCACCCAGTTAGTCACTGGGAGTCATAGTTCACACATATAGACCTACCCTAAGAAATCCATCAATTGAACATGCTAAGACACTGGCTTACAGGTGCTACACTATCAGATCGAAGAGCTGAAGTGTATTGAAGTTCCCTGATCTCAGATCTCTGGGCTGACAGGGATGTGAGAAGGGGAGATTTGACTGCAATGTCCTTAACAGCCTCATGCCATTCAGTTGGCCATTGACCTATGAGAAGGTAGAGAAAACCTTTAACTGCTAGAGAAAGGAGAGATAGTGGACAGCAGAGATTGGAGGATGTGAGGGAACTGAGACAGACTGGCATTTGTGAATCCCATGATGACACAGTAAAGCCAGAAGTCCCTGAAGAGCCTGTGAAGACGTGGCTTTGGATGTCTGATTGGCTGGAGCCTCCTCACAAGCACTGCAATCACTGGCAATAGCACTCCTAAATTCCCAGCACTGCTTGATGCCTATTGTAAAAAAAAAAAAGAAGCCAGGTCTCATTCGTCTTGCTCTTTTGTAGCATTTCAAAATAAAGCACTGTGAAAAGATGGGAATTACCTTGAGAGGGGTGTTAGACTTCTCAGCAACTCTTTTTGCTTCCAGACCCAGCTGGACAAAAAGTTCCAGGAGTCGACCAAGCAGTTCCAGCATCTCCCCATCACCTTGAATGCTAGCTGCTATATTGGCCAGGGCATTGTTCACTGCCAATGTCACATGCCTACAAAGGGGCATCATGTCAAAAGGAGATGCAGTAGGCAGCAACACCAAGAAGAATGGAAGGCAAAATCACTTTGAATAGGGCTTTCACCTCATAAAAACAAAAAACTATCAATTTTGAAAAAATATGCCCTTGCCTGTACTGCAACTTGCGATCTTCTGCCACCCCCGAGGTATATGCAGCTGAGCTGGCATCAACTGTGATCTGAGTGAACATTTTCATGATTTCCTCGTAAATTTTGATCTGCAATCAACAAAGTCAAACTACTTAAAATCAGGAGAGAGGAAAAATGAGAAGTGAATTAAAAACGAGAACACACATCACAGTTTGAAATTATGATACAGCCCAGCTGGTCAATGATGAGGACATCGAGTTGAGAAGGAGGTCGGCAGAAGCGCTGGATGAAAAACTGCAAGATGCTCTCAAGGGTCCTTGGAGTATCCTTTAATGTCACTGCTACGTGACCCAAAGCCAAAACTGTGTTGGTTGAGATCAGAGTAGATTCTCTGCATAGGCAAAAACAAATATTTCACATTCTTCTCATTTGGGAAGTACCAGAATAAAAAATACAGAAATTATCCACGCACACATCAGAAGACTCAGCTGTGAAGAGGCGATTGGCAATGGATGCCAGAAATGCCTGAACTTGATCTGTATTCACAGACAACCCAGCCTGGATGGCCAGGCAGAGGTTTTCTATGGCTGCATCTCGTAGTCTCTCAAATGCAGATTGACTGGCTGATGCACACACTCCAGGCTGGATGCATGAAGACAGAGTTGCTGTAGATCCCTTGGATGACAAAGGGCCCAAGCCTTCAGCTGGTACTATGCAAAATAATGAAACTTGGAAGATCAACATCATTTGTATCTAACCAATGGAAGTGGTTGATGTGGCTACAGGTACCAGTCTCAATGACTCCATCATACAATTCTATTACCTTGAAGTGTAAGTCGGTTGGATGATGCAATACCAGATGCAGCATGTTGCTTTTGAAGCTTCAGCAGCACCGGGGAAGGAAGCACGAGAAAGTTTGTGAGACAGGCAATGCTGGTGGGAGCTATGTTGGGGAACTTCTGGGCAAGTTTTCCCAATCCCTGGGACATTAAGGATCAAAAAATAAATGCAGACCAGTAGTTGAGAAGCAATGGAGGAACATGAGAAGCTTCATGAGAGCATGCTGGGGAGGAAGGGGGAAGAGGAAAGGAAGATGTTTCCAGCTATCATGGTAGGGAATTGGTTTATTGCCTATGTGATGGGCTTGATCTCTTCTAGCACATATTCCTATATAGAATTATTTTATTTACAAGGACAACATTTCAGCAGCTCTTCAAAAACATCTGAGAGGAATTTTCAAGTGTAGAATATTACAATATTAATTTCTTAAATAATTGTCAGTAGGAATAGTCATACATGTTTTTAATTATAGAATATACATAGCTTATTTAGATATAAACATTTTTGAGTACATAGATAATATGTAAATATGTAATTGTCACACGAGTGTAAATTTAAAAATTAAAGCCTCCTGGCAAGTGAACCAATTACTTCTTTTCAATTAGATCTGGCATTCTGGTTTAATTACATTTTTACTGGCATGTTGGTTTTCAAACTTCACTGGTCATTTTAAGAAATTTTAAAGTCTGGAGAACCTCTCTTATGCCAAAAAGACACTAAATGTGAGGTGATATAGTATATATGGAAGGAGATATTTGGTGATGTTTGTAGCACTATTTCTACAAATACTGATAATCTAACCCATGGATTGGTACATGGATAGAGACAATATGAAGCCATGGAGGGAAATGATTTTGGTGCTTCACCTGTTTAGCATGTGAGGTCTGAAGAGCTGCTGGAGAATGGATCGAAAGAAAAAGAGAAAAAGGTAGGGCTGCTAACCTGAAGGCAGACCATGAGAAGGGGCATGTGTGCCAGTACCAGACGATGACCATGACTCAAATTCAACTTCTCTGTCAGACGTGAGCATAGACTATCTGCACCTATTATCAGATCATGAGACAAAAGTTGAATTATGCATACTTGAAATCTAAATGAATTCTACTAGTCAAATGGTGCAATGATTGTCATTTGTGGTCATCAACAGGGAATAGCCAAGGAAGAAAAAGTTTATGACATCTTCCTTCCACATTTCAGCCATGAAAACTGCTTACCCTTTCATGCCTGAATTATGTTGTAAGCATTGAAAAAATATACCATTTAGTTTTGTGGATTCAAGAAGGCATGGAAAATATGTACATGCATATAAAAAATATAGTAAAAACTCATTAACTAGTAATTTTTTCAACCAGGCAAATCGTTTCAAGTTATCTGAAGTTCAACTTATCAGGAATTGCCTATACCCATAACAACAAAAAAATACTCACATTAAGGGATATAATAGGGCGATTTTTCCATCCTTGAGAATCTGATCTTAAGAAGCAACAACCCTCTCATTATAATTGGCTTTTCTTATGTCTATGGAAACTTTGATACTCCATATGCAAAATTCATTCATCACAATGCCCTTCATCTGGTACACTGGAAACAAAATATGACTGGAATGGCTGGAAGTGAGAGTGATAGACAGACAGGGAAAGTGCTAGAGGTTGCCTTTTTTTTTTTATAGCAGAAGCTTTTCAGTCTTAATCCTCTCCACAGGTGTTTGAGGGTGAAGGGTGTAGCAGAAAAAAAAACACAAAAGGATTTCTCCCCGAACATGTTTCTTGCCTTTCACCTATTCAACAAATCAATAGCTCCCACAATCATTTTTCCCCCCTTCACACCCTGATTTCGAGTCAAACATGAGAAAATTGTAATCAGGAGTGAAAATGTTGTTCAGGATATTCAGAAATTCGAGATAAGCGAATTCAAGTTAAACCGAATATTTAACATGGTGCCTTATGAGATTAGGCCAGGACCAAGCATTGAACTATGAGATAAATGGAATTTCGACTTAATGGAATTCAAGTTAACAAGTTTTTACTGTATTTTGAAATTAAATACAGTTTCAATTTATTTCCAAAATAACCAAAATTAAACAATCATGAGCTTAATTACTAGCAATTCAACCTTAACTTTCCAATGAATGCTTCTTGACATTTCTTTGCTAATTTTCCCAAGTCTAACTTGTGAAGCTGCAAAAAAAATAACTGGGATAAGAACAACTCACTCTTCAAATTTCAGGAAAATTAGGTTTCCTCTCTTTGCACAGACACACAATTAACACGTCATAAACAAGTCATCAGATAAACTACATTACTGTGGTAAAGCTGACAGCTGTTACTTTAAAAAAGTCATTGGCAAGGCAATTCTGGTAAATTGGTGGTTCCAAATGGCACCATTGGGAATGAAAAGGTTAAGGACAGAGTTCACAAAGCTCCATGAGATATTCAAGCCCCAGTCATTTGCTAGAATTACAGTCAGAAATGGACGAGACACAGGGAGTGTTTCAGAAGAATGTGGTAGGTTCCAGAGTGGATGCCCTAGCTATAGAAGATATTGAGATTGCCCTCACACATTGCACACTTGATTGTTAACATCATACCTAATGAAATGCTGCCTAGTGGTTGATTTCAATTTCTAGAGTATATGTCAAATACTTTTTTTTTCTCTACCTACTAAAGATTTGACATCATCTGAAGAAACACATCACCACAGGGGCATGCATTGTCAGGAAAGCTGTTAAGTTCTGAAGGTAGCTGAGGTGCAACTAAACAACTTTCTATGAACAGTCTGGATCCCATGTTTGCAAAGTGGGTGGTGGTGAGATGGGATACAGGCATTTAATCAAGAGGCAGATGCTACACTTGGAGAGGAAATAAAAGATTGTTAGATTAAAATATCTCATTTTCAGTTATTACCATTACCTCATTCTCTGAACATCCATTGTAAACAAGAGACTGTTTCTGATAAAATCCATGAAGTATATGCTTTTTCCTTTGCTTCATGCACTCACTGACCAAAATATTAGGAACCCCCCTATCAAATAAATTAGACTTTCCAAGTTGCAGGCAATGCAAATATGGTGAACAAACCAAATTTGGACTAGACAACAATAGGATGGGAAAGATGACTGATCTGAGTGGCTTCACATGTCATCGTGGGAGCCCAACTGGCAGGGGCATTAACAGCAAAGAATATAGAACTGTCAGGATAGATGAAGAGCACCATCTCTTGGGTGAATGGAAACTCAAGAGAAACCATGGCTATGAACACAGAAAACATTCACCAATAGGGAAGCTTGTGGACAGAAGTGACTACTGCAAGATAGGAACAGGTTGGCTTGACTTGTGCTGAGGAATAGACATGCCACAGTACAGCAATCAGTGGAAAGCCATGACAATGGTCCTTGTCCATCCATATTGACATGAACCATGCACAGGGAACTGCAAGGTTTGGAGTTAGAGAGCCATGCACCAATCTGAAAACTTCTAATTTCAGCATGTAACAGAATATGGTGACCCCAGTGGTGCAGAAAACACCTGAACTGGACACTTGAGAATTGGAAATGTGTCATGTGGTCTGATGAATCACATTTCCCATTATTCTGCATGGATGGACAGCATATAGTGTAGCAGCAACCCCATGAAGCAATGGATCCATCATGTCTGGTGTCCATGGTTTCAGGCTGCAGGAGGCAGTGTGATGATATGAGGAGCATTTTCATGGCACAGATTAGGTTCTCTGATTTGTCTGCAAGGTTGTATCAATAAAGAGGCATATGTGAGAGTCAAGGGTGACCAGGTGCTTCTGGTGATGATTACTACCCTGCTGGGAGTGGCATGTTCCAGGAAAACAAATCCACCATTCATCAGATCCAAATTGTGTGATTGATTAGTGGAACATGAGAGAGACTTCCATCCCTTTCCCTGGTCAGAGCAGTACCCAGATACCAATCCAATTGAAAACCTGTGGGATCCTTTGGAATGTGCAGTTCCATCACACAGACCATTACCTTCATCACAATTGCAACTGGAGGGAATCCTGTCAGAAGAACGGCTTTGGATTGGGCCACAAATATTCCAACACGTTGTGGAATCCATGCCACACTGTGTTCAGGCTGTTCTTGCTGCTCACAAAGGCCCAACACATTATTAGGTAGGGGTTCTTAATATTTTGGCCAGTGAGTGTATAATGACAAAATTCCAAATGCAAACACTTTCTTTTGTGACTGTCCTCATGACCAATGGCAATTATCAAACTTAAGCAACAAAGTATTATTTGGAAAAACCTGGAAATGCAGAGAAAACCATGGAACTAGGGGAAAAAAATTGTTCTACTATTGTTATAATGGAGCTACATAAAAGCACTATGGTTTTTCAAAGATGGTTCACCTTCATCCCATGGGTGGTTGATCACAGCAGCAAAGTGATCACATAACAGAGTCAAAGTTTGAGAATCTATCAGAAAAAATCATACAGACAAAACCATGATGTAAAATGAGAAGGAACAGAAGACCAATGAAAATCCTATGTGATTAAATTATCAGAGGTAGAAAACTTCATTTGCTCACCATTTTCATCAGCTATTGCCCAAACAAGAAGATCCACACATGCAGCATTTGCCTGGACATTGACCTTGAATTTATTCACAGTGGCATAGTTGGACTCCTGATCTTCCTTCTCAGATGCATCATGCTGTCGACCTTGGAGTTCTGTTTGGCCAGACAAGAACAGTCCCTTGATGAACTGCTGAACATCTCGTGTGAAGGGCTCTGGCAAGTCTGTAGACAACACAACAGATTATCTCCACTCACCATCACTCTTTCACTGCAAGCCAGCAAGATTCCCCCCCAAAAATTAAAGGGCTTATATTTTAAACCTTTTTTGTACAGCAATAAATACAGTGGCCCACATGAAAATTCCATGTATGACAGGGTGTATGATTCTGTATGGTCATGTATGATCATATATTTGCCATATACCACCATATATGTATTCATATATTAACAATTGTATCATGCATAATATATTTTACCTGCATTGCAATATTATGTGTGATGGGCAAATGGCCTCATGCCTGATATGTGGTGAATGTGCATAGACAAGTCTTATGGTTGTAAGTAAAACATAGCATGAGGTCAGTGGTGTATTTTGGCTGAAGAGCCAGGGGGGACAGGGCAGCAGAGTGGAGGCACCTAGCTCTGTCCCAGGGATGCCAGGGGGGGGCAGCCATACTCCCCTGCCCCCTCCCTAGAAAATATGCCACTGCATGAGGTAGTTACACATGAGAGCAATTGACCTTCAGATGCCTCTGCAACTTATTTTTTAGTGCACCTATTGTATTTTATATGAAATATTAAGTATGAATAACCCATAAAGTAATTTGCCAAAAGTTTGATTTCAAACCCCCCCAGCTGAAAATCTTGTTGGAAGCAGCTATAATTTCCAGCTGAACCTCAGTTGGAAATTCAGACCCATTCCAACTGGGTAGCAGCTGGAAAGTAAAGTCAGATCCAGATTTTTCCTAATTGCAATACACTGGTAGAATGAGAATGTTTTTGCTGGTTATTCTTGCTGGAGGTCCATCTACAGAAGCAGCTGAATTTCAACTGGAGGGTCCTCTGTATAAAATTCTAATGGTAAATTTCCAGCTGTTAAACAACCTGTATCAACCATTTTTTTTAGCTCTTTGCCAGCTGGAAATGGTCAGAATATACAGCGTCTGTCCACCTGAAAAATTCCAGTCAGGATTTCAAACTGGGCCCTACCCTCTCTAGGTAGCATAAGTGTATCGCAGATTAAAAAAGTGTGGGAGGAGGGGGGGGCATGGGAACTCTGGGATGTTGTTATCATGCATCTTTTCCTTTGTATTAATGGTTTTTTTTTTGTTGCAAAGTGGGGGCACATGCCATGCCATGCCATGCCTTGCCTTCATCAAATAATTTCAGAAAGAGATACAGTTTCTGTTCCCATCTATCTTGTCAGTCAAAATGAAGAAGACATTCCTACATGAGTAAGCCATGTCTTGAAATAGCATTACTGATGAAAATACTAGTTCAAGTCTATAATATTGAAACTTTCACCTTCATTAACAAGGGTGCATATGTTGAACACCATGAAACATGCATTCTTGGAGTAATTGACTGTGGTCTATGAACAACTGAAAATGAGTTGATTGCAAGTTAAGTATGGTGACTTGCATATGAATGATCATATAGTATTTGATGGATTATGGACTCTTTTTGGATACAGACATGTTTCAGCTAATCTCACCATACATAGGTGTGACATGACATATATGGACAGTATATGGTGCATATGTATGAGCCAATATATGAAAATGTATGGGGTCATATATTTTCATTCTTATATGATTTTATGTGACTTGTGTCAAACCCCATACAAGTTTCACGTATGTTCATATATGTATTGCACTATATGGTCATATATGAAATTTTCATGTGGGAGCTATACCCCTCAGACTGACTTATTTTGCTGAAAATGAACAAATGTAGTCAGAAATTTGCAGAACTCTGGTAAGTTCACAGACAACTCTCAGAGCAATTGTGTATATGTGGTGTGATCAATAAGTTCCCAGACTGGTTCTGTAACTCTGTTATTCTTTGATGGACAGATGTCACTTCTCGTATGTATCTTGGGTTGGGTCTTGGGGGTGTATAGGCAAATTTTCTTTCTCATTGGTTTTCATTTGGATTTTTAAAGAATTCTATTCCAATGGACACTTTGAACTAGTCGGCGAATATGTGTGAGGAATGTTTTTTAATACTAAAAAAATGTGAAGGGCCATCAAATAATGCATGGAAGAAGGCAAATGTACCACACCTCAGGAACCTTGAAGGTATTCCACAGATACAAAGGATTTGGAGAAAAGAAGACCTTTAACATGGTGACCCAAGGATGAGCAATCATCGACACCCACACAAAAGTGGAACCTTGATGCACCTCCACGAATGTCTACATGAGAAAAATTCAAGTTCTTGGAGGGCTCATGAAATGTCAATTTCTGAACTCGGTCGACTTGAGTCATCCATGTGACCCATCACGAACAGACACAAACTATTTAAAATTATTCTGTGCCTGATGAATATCCTCCAGCAGCCTGAAGTGTCTGCTCCAAACACAGCAGCATGTAACTTACCACAAGTTTATTTTCCTTAATTTCACAAAAATTGCATGGCATTCTGAATTTCTAATTTGTTTTCATCGAGTTCCTTGCTGCTTTTCGCCGGGTAGTTCAAAGTGTCCAATGGAACAGAATTCTTTAAAAATTCAAAGGAAAACCAATGAGCAATAAATTTTGCCCATGCACCCCCAAGACCCAACCCAAGATATGTACGAGAAGTGATATCTGTCCATCTAAGAATAATGGAGTTACAGAACCAGTCTGGGAACTTATTGATCACACCACATACATGAAGGCAGTGCTCAATGGTTACATATGAAAACTGCATATATGCAGGCAGTCTACTAATTCAGCTACAGCAGACCACATTTATGCAGTGACAGTATTTAAAGGGTTAATAGTTTCTCTGTTTTTTTTTTTATAAGCGCATTTGCTGATATGATGAAACCATATCTGAATTAACCTGTTTCAGAAGGTTCTTCAGAAACAAACCTTTCTGTCTCTGCAGGAGTTCCCGGAGAAGTGAGATGATAACAAGATTCACAGTTTCTTTCAGACTCTTGTAAGGAAAGATCTTGACCTGTCCTGATGTGTAAACATCCAATGCTTGGTCATCAAGAAAGTGCAGAAGGTCCCGGGTGAGCAGTCGCTTTGCCATTGTTAGCACAGCCTAGCAGGTAAAAATATTCATCAGTCTCTTTCTTCCCCCTTCTAAGGCATACAAGAGACAGGACACACCTACATACCTTCAGTTGAGCTAGTGTAAGTCGTAGAGGACTTGAAGTTTCTGATGCTACACCTTGAAAGCTAGAGCCATAGCGATGAAAGAAATATGTCTGGATGTTAGACGCCCTGGGATGTTCCAGTTCTGCTGCTGATGACCTTGTAAATGTCCTTGATTTGGGCATTAAACAAATCACTTGAGAATGAATGGAATTATCAGTACTATCTCAGTTATTAGTGATATACAGAGGACTAGTATTAATGCCAGAAAAAGTAAAAGCATTAGGAAAAATAAGAAAAAACCACCTTTTTCCTGAGTTAAGATGCAACCAAACCAGAGAGGCCTGAAACCGAGGTCTGGAAATATAGATCAGATGAAAGGCACCAAAATCAGTCCAATGCAAGCAACCATGATCCTACTCATGCGAAAAATGCATACATGCCCTAACCTTTACAATGACTGTATTTACAGGAAAGTGCCAGGTGTTCACCTTATATACTGATAGGAGATCTATATGAATTATTTTATCTCAAGGGAGAAAATCAGGAGCAACATGGCAATCAAATAATGCCCAGAAAGTACAGGATGGCTAAAAAAAAACAACAAGCTATTGACTTCAACATGCTGTAAATCAGGCTGTAGGGGCTTGATTTGAATGGACTTTTAGGCACACATTTAACAACTCTTTTGCAGCATACATAAAATTACTTGTTATGATATCACGAGTTTTTGTTTCATCAGATCACTGCAAGGCCTTCATGCAAGTAGTTTGGTATTGTTTTGCTTTATTAAAAAAAAGAAAATGTGGGAAAAGGAAGAAACACATCTTAAAACATTGATACAGAATATGAAATGTGTTCTTATTGACAACATCTGTGGCTGCTCCAACTCAAGCAGCTGGTGGGGTCTGTTGCACCAGTTTTCCAAATGGAGGTGGCCATTTTCACCCTGATGAAACAAAAACTCATATCATAACAAGTAATTTAATGTATGCTACGAAAGAATTGTTAAATGTGTGCCTAAAAGCCCATTCAAATCAAGGTGCTACAGCCTGATTTACAGCATGTTGAAGTCAATAGCTTGATATTTTTTTGAGCCACCTTGTAGATAAATGGCAAAGTATATGAAAAGCAATTGTAATAGAATGAGGTTTTCAAGAGTCATTATTCTTTTACCAGTACTTCATTCTCAAGGTATGGAATGAATCCTCGAATGCAATTCATGCAACATCCCATAGAGTAAGAGAATCATACAGAATGAATATAACCCACCTAAAATACCTCTTCAATCATGAGGCTCCAACATGCATTTGAAAGGCTGAGTGAAACTGATGCATGAAATGAAAGCATTACTTGCTTGCATCCAAGAGATGGAGCTGGAGTTCAAGCACTCAAGAATGTGGCACAAAATTGCAAAACAACACCAGAGATTATCTCATAGAAATTTAAAGAGGTACAAGAAGCTCTTGCAAATTCTAAAAATTCTTGCTTTATCAAGATAAATTTATTGGCCCTCAAAACCTCTTTCACTCAGAAATAATAAGTCTAACATCTCAGTCAAGAAGCTTAAGATACTACATTCACAACATGCCTACTGATAATCGTGACAACTGTAATCCACAGAAAACATGCATACAGAGCTTGTCTACATTTCTATTCAGAAGGCAGTAGAAGAAAGAAGTTAAAAATATATATATATCAACAAGAAACAAGGTTCATTATTAAGTAGGACCAGATGGTACTAGCATAAGAAAAATGTTTGGGACATGGACATTTGAAGAATACCTCTTTAATGAACAAATAATGAATGAAACTAGTTCAAAAGCTCACATTTGAAGTCAAATAAAATCGCAATGTGACCAAAGGCACTTATAGGGATATAAAGACAAAGAAGGGAGATAGGTTCAAATAAATGCAAGTAGAGAAACTGTGAGATTAACATAACAGAAGTTCAAAGTTGAAGTGAAGTCAGGATAATAAGAGGGAGAGGGTTCTCACCTCACTTGAGTACCAGATTCAGAAGTTGCAATAGATGGTATGTCGTAAGGAGGGAAATTCCCAGAGAGACTGCGTGGGATGATTGGTCGAAACTTCCCAAAACTGGGGAGATTGGAGGGCTTGCGGGAATCTTTCCGAAGAGGTAGAGCAGCCAAGGCCTCAGGTGAAGGGAAAGTGGAAGTGAGAGGAGGAGGGGGGAAAAGGTGACATAGGAGGGGGGATTCAGTCCCACATCCTCGACCCATGGAACGACACAGGCCCAGTAGCAATGGAACTGTCACCTTGCACAGTGATACTAAAGGGAAAATGCAATAATTACATAGACCTATATGTACATTTCCTTTTAGGTAACCACAGTGAGACTGAGTGAATGAGCAAGGTTTTCATCATATTTGACAATAAAAAGTCTTCATCAGGTTTTTCCTTCTTTGAAATTTTAACTTTTTTCTTTGTTGTAACAAAGTGTGAAATTAAGGACAATGATGTATATGTTCTAGATCAGGGATGTCAAACTCAAATTGGTCAACGGGCTGCATTCCTTACCCTGCAGATGACTGTGGGCAGCACCCATACTTTTTCACCAAAATTTGTGCTAACAGTCTATCCAAGTGGAAATTTCAAGAACAGAAGGCGGGCTGGATGAACCATCCAGCGGGCTGGATCTGGCCTGGGGGCCATATGTTTGACACCCGTTCTAGATTATATCCTGGGACATGTGGGAGTAAAGTGAGTAAATTTTTTTCTGAGTTATATGGCCATATTTTAGATAAAAATGTATGAAGGAATATGGTTCAATCTTTGTCATATATGCCATTACTTGATCACATTTTCCAACAGGATTACCTATGACTCATCTGTGTTACAATTTTTCTCCACGCATGCAGCTTTTTAAAAATGGATTCAATATGTATAAACAAAATAAAAACTAAGATTTTACATGGTTATCTGAGTCAGTGCTAGTTCAAACATCTATTGCAGAAGTTGGGAACCAGTGACTCATGAGCCAAATTTAGCTCACAGACTGCAGAAAAGAAAAAATGTGTTTCCTAGCCCTTTGAGTGGTATGGCCATACCACTCAAAGGGATAAGAAGTCCTGCATCTTCAAATTCAAATTGTCACATTTGTACAGATGAGTCAGTTTGAGCTTAAATTTGCAGGTTCCTGAATATGTCTCGCCTTAGTCAGTACTGCCATCTTCAAGCTAGTACAGATAGTAACAGAGAAAAAATTAAATACTAAATTCAGGGTAGTTCATGAGAGAGGGTTTTCAGTGTGACTCTCTTGCTGACAGATGCCCATTCCATTTCTAAAATTAAGCAGCCAGAGGTGTGCTCTTGATTTTCAATGACAAATCTGGAAAGCCCGGGAACTGGGAATAAACTGACAAAAAAACATCTCACGTGTAAGGTGTTGGTGGACAAGAAGTGGTTTGTGCCAATAGGCATTACATGACAAACTCCCTCACAGGAAATGAGAAGAAAAAGGGGATTAAATCAATTACTTCTTCCATATTTCACCTCTTTCGTATCTCTTTTTTATATGTGGAATACCACACCCTGAAGCACTACTGATTACCCAAGATTACTAATGCTGAATTAAAGTTATTTTGACATACTTCAGAGGTAAATGATGTTTTGGTTCATAAAAGTAAAAAATTCAGAGCTGGATCCTATCCACAAGAAAAACTCACTCCTGGGGGCATGCATAGTTTAAAAAAACTCACTGCTCAAAGGGTTAAATACCAATTTTCTGCCACTCTAAAAAAAAATTATGTTGTTTTGAAAATCTTTGGCTTATGAGCACTTAGCTCAATCTTAATTTAGCTCCCATTTTCAAAAAGGTTCCTGACCCCTGATCTATTGGATAATAATTTGCACATAATTGAAATATTAGGTATAATTTTTGGTTATCGTTTGCTATCAAACCTCACTCAAGTGATAGATGCAAGAGGCATTGCATATTAGCATATGTCTCACTGGCTTCTACTCCCAAGTATACATGTAAGGCAGTTACTGAATAACATGGATTGTAGGGAAAGGCTTCAACTAATGGATTGCTAACTTTAGAATGGTTCTAATGTTCACATGAAAGAATGCATGTGAGCATCATCCCATAGTTAGTCATCATGTCAGTTGAGGCCTGAGCATATGGCCCTATGGGAATCAGGAGAGGGTTAAAGGAGAAACAAAAGCGGAAACTTTAGGAACATGGCTATAACAATGACAGATTCTCACCTTTGGCTGGCATCATCTTCATGGCTGGTGAGGGAGACATGGCAGAAGCAATTGCATTGCAGTATGTAGCTAATCCTTCAATCTGTGCATCAATGATCTTTTCCCTCCAATCCTCACATCTTGCTGCCACATCACTCAAAAGTGTATTGAGGCAAAAGCTGAACCTTTCAACCACTGGAATCCCTGGAATACAGAGACAGATCTCAATGCAAGAATCTTGATTACATAAGAGGATGTAACATGATTATACTCACTATCAGATGGATAATACTTGACTTCATCTTTCCAAGTGGCTTTTGGTAGGAGTTGAAGGAGTTCCAAAAGATACGGAATGATCTTGTCTCTATGTTGAAGGCTAGATTCCAGAAAATATATGCCTAATGCAACAACAGCATCTTGTCCCCTCTGAGTGATGGAAGTTCCATGCTGGTTTTCTCGGGGACATCGACTGAGGAGTCCACTCTCAACCTGAGGCCAAATGTCAGCCATAAGCTCAAAATTATGAATGATTATAAATATCAAAAAGAGTTGTCAAGTCAATCAGTAGGAATTAATAGAAGTGTCTCCCTCCATGTGTGTGATTAGAAGTGATTCTAAAAGAAAGGATGGGTGCTGATAAAAGAAAATTAAAATATAATTTAAAAAGGGTTTGTCCCCATAAATCCAAGAAATTAAAAGTGTTAACGCTGCAGTGAATAATAAGCATGCAAACTCTCAAATTACAAGGTCCTGTGAAGGTGCAAATAGAATTTTTAAAATGAAAATGCCCCTTCTTTTGGGAAAATTAGGGTCTTCCCATTACTATTTCACATGCTGCAATATCTGGTACTGGAATGATATTTATTTTGGAAAAACCTTTCAAACATCATTCTCATTCTACAGGCTTAAAATTTGGTATCAGGTATCACTCAAGTGCTATTGCAAGTTTTTGCCTTCTCTGTACATGCATGTTGGAGATAATTGAGTTGAAACAAGAGAAAATAATTAGGATGAATAAAACCCTAGAAAGGTTCAATTCCATCCATGGTTGGATGGAATTGAAGGAGCATTATTTTACAGCATAAAAAATTATGCAAAATAAAGTAAAAATAATAATTCCAGGTGAATAATACATATTCTCAGAAATAAAATATACACAGATGAAAAAGTTCATGGGGCAATAGTTCATTCAGTTCAGTTTCAAATTTAAAAAATGAGGGTGTAGGTTGTACCATAAGAAGTTCTTCAGAGGCAGAAAGCATTCTGTGGTGTTTATTTTTTCCTATGGGGGAATGAGACATTTACCATTAATACCAATATAGGGCTGGCCATAAATATTTGTACCACATGTAACTTTTCCATTTCTGCATGTCCAAGAAAAGCAGAGAAAAAAAAAAAGGGGGTATCTATATGTCTGCATCTCTTTGGTGGCCAATCTTGGGTGCTTCAAAAGGACTCCTTTGAGTCACAAAGATTGATGCATAAAATTTTTTTTTAGCAGATCATGTAGCAATAAAAACTATCAAAAAACATTACCGGCCCCCTTAAAGTTATAACTGCAATCTGAAATATAACTGTACATGGAGCCTGCTGAAAGTAAGTGTCCAAAAATAGAATCAAGAGACCTGAATCAGTTAAGGCTGGAGCTGCAAGAGGAGTGGAACTATGTTTGTCCAATGTAATTAACCAGCAGACTTGAAGATAATGGGTTGCTATCAAAAAGTCAGGAGACACATGGAAAGTATTTTGCAAATAGTTATAGTGAGTCTTTATGTCTCAAATTCAGTCAATTCTGAAAAATTATTAACACAACAAATGCAAGATTTTGATTTTGGTGCAAATATTTATGGCCCACTCTGAATATGCACTTGTTTTGGAGAAAACACTTTCTGTCCTTTGTTCTTTGAAAATTTTTGGATCATGGGATAAAATAGATAAATTAATTATGCTAATTAATCCAGCCTAATTACTTAATCATAATCAATTAATTATACTCACATATAGTGCTTCCCTACCAGTGCATAACCATGTCTGGCTTTTTAAGGTGCTGTGCATCCCAATTACCATTCTCTCTGGTGGCAACCCAGGAATCTCCAAATTGCTTATAAGCAATTTGGAGATTCCTGGGTATACAAGTATAAAAATAGAACAGTAACAGAATCCAAGTTTAAAAAGAATGGTTATTAGGAATCATGAATGCTGTCACTATTAGCGTGAAGGATAGTCAGAGTTTAAGACATAGCAAAATGCAAAGTTGCCCCCTGTGGGGTAATTTAAATTTGCACTATACTGCAAGTTATATATTTTGCATAAATGACTAAAGCAATCCTCTTTTCTGGCTTGCAGTAATAGAGCAATTATATTTCACAATATATACAATTTTGGAAAAGGGGTAAAAAACATCTCTTATGGGTACCCACCCTCTGTATCTGAGATATGATGCAGTGATTGCAAGAGAAACAGAATCAGCTGATACTATCACCACATAGGACTATCTATTACATCCTTTGCCCTTTCCTTGTTTTACCACAAGCTGATATGGTCACACACTTCCATTGCCAGATGTCCCAGTTTAAATGTGGCAGTACCGGCCTTTCAGTCCTTGGCCCATGTCTCTGAAAGGGTATAAGGGTATAGAGTATGGTAAGGGTATAGAGTTATCCTCAGTTCTTGCTTAAAGTCCAAACTTCTGGCAAACTCAGAACTCAGTTTGTAAATTTTCTAATCCAAGAATAATTCTGATTTATTTCATAGTTTTTGATCAAGCAGCACGGCTATGAGGCCAGATGATTTTAAAAAAATGGTAGCAGATGCTATTGTTCAGAAGGGCTTCAGTTTAAATTTCCATTAGGGTTTAGAAATGCTTCCTTTCCTCAAGTGCTGCTAAGGTATTTAAAGTTGGAAGTGGAGATATCACAATGATGATCCTATTTGGCTTGTAAAAATCATAGTATAAATCGCTTTCAAATATATTGCTTGTTATAGTATTCCAAAAATAATGAACAGTGGAGAAGCAATAGACAGGATGGACCTTTCCATCTTCCCTCGGTCCCTCTGTTGACTTTCCTGCAAGAGCCATCATGTATTGCATACTGAATCATTTGAGATGAAGAAGAATTTCCACTAAGATCTAGAATTCATGATGATTGGGATAGAGAATTCCAAGCAACACAAAGGAAGTGAAGGGGCTACATCCAATGAAGACACTTGGGATAATGCTCAATTTCTTTTGGAATGGGATTTTATTTCACAAGTACTTATAATTGTCATTAACCTTTTACCATATATTTGGAACCATCTTGTCAAAAAACCAAAATGTTCTGGATCATAGGATTGATATAGGAATTGGATATAGCTAAAACTCAAATAGATGGATGTGTTGTCTTCAATTTGAGGCATTTCTTTACAAGGTCATCCATATTTGCAGGAAAATTCAAAAACTTCAAATTCTTTGGAACAGTAATGTCAAGGAAATTGTGTGACCTTCTATTGGAGGCCAAGTCCATACTTGAAGATCTCTTTTTATTCTGGAGAATTTCACTATTAAGAAATTAATTCAGTTTCATTGTTGTCAAATAATTTTCCAAGAAAGTGTAATTCTTAACATCAGAAACCTAAAGAAAAACAGGATTGCTCACTCCCACCCTTATGAAACTAGAGCTACTAAAGCAGGAAAATTTCAGATACCCAGAACAAATTTGCAGAACAAAATAATGTACAAGAAGGACTAAGAATATTTAATGAACTGCCAGAGGATATAAGGGTTGCAAAATCCAAATCTTTAAGGCCAAATTGTTACATTATTTTTATGAAAAAAATCTATATCTAATATAGAAACCAATTCCTTTCCTAATTGGCTGATAGCCTGATCGGACCCCCATGAAAAAAAAAAAAACAAATAAATCAAATAATACTTTGTTGCATCCCAACCCAGCCATCCAGGGCGAACTCAATTAGGTTCAGTGAATGGCCTTCTTGCCCACTATTTGCATTTGCATTCTAATTCTATTTCTATTTCTTTCTATTCCTTTTCCCTGCCTTTTTTTGGTTATTATCTTTCATTTTGGTCATTGTCTTTACAGTCATCTTTTTGTCCTTACCTGCAAATATGTCGAAAATATATTCTATTCTATTCTAGTCTAGCCCTAACATTAGGCAATCACATCATTAACGATAAGCAAAAAACATACCTTGTCCCAGGGTGCAGGAGAGAGCTTGGCTAATGACCTGGCGAGCCTCAACGAGGCAGCATAGAAGAAAGAAGTACCGTCCAGCGCCATCAAGTCCTGATTAGGCCCATGATGTTAAGAGCCAGGGATTTCCCTGTTCAATCTGGTGGATCAATGAAAGACAGGGAGGCGCCATACTGTCTGAATGTGGACCCATCCGAAATCAAAACCGACTGCAACGCCCTCTAAGTACCATACATACATTCGACTCTCCTGTCTCAGCTGTTTTGTGGGGCAGTCATTCTCTGGTTCCGAAGTCACAAACATTTATCCCATCCTGTTATTAAGGCCATGACTTAAGTCTAAAGCAATGAAGTTAAGCCTGTATAATAGTCATAGGTCTGCTTCTTCCACCCTAGCCTATTTCTTCGTACTCTTCCTTTTTTTTTTTATAAATGCTGTCTTGGGCAAATTAGTCACATCAGAAACAAGACGACGGCCAAACTCACAGGCCTAGCTTTAGGCGCTTATTGTCATTAGCCTAGGGTTAACTTACAGTGTTTTTCACATGACTAGGACACTTGTGCATGGGACGATCCTTGTGTGTGTGTCAAAGTCAAGAGAAAAAGTGTTTGACTCAAGTGAAAAAAATACTTGACTTTACAGCCCAAGATAAAAACAAAAACACTTCTTTCAAAACCAAGCAGGCCTGGTTTTGCAAATCTTGTAGCATAAATCCATAGAAGCAATAAGCTTTCATGCTCAGGCTAAGAATCACTTGTAAAGATACTGTCTCTGTCATACTTTAGCTAAATCACATCGACCCCACATAACTATATTTGTCTGAGTTTGTTAACACAGATTACCAATTGTGTAGATACAGTCACTCTATATATTATCAGGATTTCAAAGTCACAAAAACTTGCATCCATTGCACTGGCAGCGGAACAAGTGACTGGTGATCTGACCTGGGAGACAGAGAAACAAGCCCATAATTTGCTAGGCCATTCACTCCCTGAAGCAGCAAGCACAGGAGAAAATATTAATATTAGGAAGATAAGAGATAATCATGCATTACAGTACAAATGAAGAGTTAAAGATGCACAAAAAGAATGAAGAGAAGAGAAATGACATAATAAATAGAAAATTAATTAAATAAAAGCATGAACAAATTTAAGTGTGGAAAACAAGAAAAAGATAAGGACAAGAGCAAAAGGCAAGGCAAAAAAGAAGTAGAAGTAAAAATAAGGAAAAAGAAAAAAGAAATAAAGGCAAAAAATATAGAAAAGTAAAAGGGGAAGTATAAACAGTGGCCTCTTTCATTACAGAGATGCATAATGTGTTTAAAATGTTATCATTAGAAAATGAAATACTTTAGCATTAAAGATTTCAATTGTTTTAGCTTGTCACATCTCTTTTGGGATTCATTAAGTACTCTCAGTCTCTGTGATTTGTGTTTATCTGAAAATGTTGGATTTATTCTGGAATCCAGGACAAAATGGCCCCGGACATTTTGGCCCCGAATTATATCTTCCTAGGACAAAATGGCCCCGGACATTTTGACCCCTAATGAGATATAGGACAAAATGGTCCCTCCGGTAAAAATGTACGATGACAGCTCATCAAGAGTTAACGACAATTTTAATAATTGCGTCACCTACTTATGACTACGTTCTAAAATTAAGTTCTTAATTATCTTGAAGCTTGAATGTATTGAGGGCTATGATTCAAGATGTTTATTTTCATCATATCTTAATATGCTATAGCAGTACTAAAGGTTCACTACCTTCTCGTTCGCCTTCCCCTATCTTGCCCATCCTCCCCTCCCTATTCTAAGAAATATATATTCACTCACTTGCCACTTTTCTTGTCCTCTACGTTCCTTGATTTAATACCCACTTCCTCCCCCCCCCCCCCCCCCATCCACCCCCCTTCGCCCATCTCCGCTCACCCTTTCCTCCCCCTCCGCCTGTCCCCCCCCCCCCCCCCCCCCCCCTCCATCCACCCCCCCTTCGCCCATCTCCGCTCACTCTTTCCTCCCCCTCCGCCTGTCAATCTGGCTTAGACTCTCCTATTATTTAAATATCCTTACTTCGTTCTGACTCGATAGTTAATTCTATCTTTGTGTTCAGTCGTAATCCAGTCGAGGTTGAACTGGATTACGTGATCGTATGCTGACTTAGATGCAATGCACACTGAGGCAATTATTCGCTTTAAAGGTGTATTTATACAAATATGCAATAAGCCAAAGCCAATGAAAACAAGGGGTGGATTAGAATTTATTTATAAAAACTGGGAATCTTAAGTCAGATCGACACGTGGAGGGGGATTATGGGGAACTGGATTATGTTGAGCATGTAATCCAGTTCAACCTCAACTAGATTACGACTGAACACAAAGATAGAATCAACTATCAAGTCAGAACGAAGTGAGGATATAGACAATGTTTAAATAATAGGAGAGTCTAAGCCAGATTGACAGGCAGAGGGGGAGGAAAGGGTGAGCGGAGATGGGCGAAGGGGGGTGGATGGAGGGGGGGGAGGAAGTGGGTATTAAGTCAAGGAACGCAGAGGACAAGAAAAGTGGCAAGTGAGGGAATATATATTTCTTAAAATAGGGAGGGGAGGATGGGCAGGATAGGGGAAGGCGAACGAGAAGGTAGTGAACCTTTAGTACTGCTATAGCATATTAAGATACGATGAAAATAAACATCTCGAATCATAGCCCCCAATGCATTCAAGCTTCAAGATAATAGAGAACCTAATTTTAGAACGTAGTCATAAGTAGGTGACGCAATTATTAAAATTGTCATTAACTCTTGATGAGCTGTGATCGTACATTTTTACTGGAGGGACCATTTTGTCCTATATCTCATTTGGGGTCAAAATGTCCGAGGCCATTTTGTCCTGGATTCGTTGAAGTCATCATCAAGTTAAAATGAATCTGGTGCTTTCACCCTCTGTGATCATTGATTAAGGAAAGTTTCTCATCAACTTGTATTGAAGAAAATATTGGGTTGACTATCTTCAAATATATAGCCAATTAAATGTAGCTACTTGACAAGTTTGGGAATGTGCTTGGTGCTGTCACATATTTGTTGGCAGTTCTTACCAACCTGGAATATTTTGACATTGCTTCAACTGAACTATACATTTTTTCTGGCAGCTCCTGGAACCTATCATGCTGAAGTATTTGGACCTGTGTGTTGAACTGAAGAAGTCTCACATGGCCAAAGAGGGATTATATCAGTATCGGAACATTTGCCAAGCAGTAAGTATTTTTATTTTGGTGTTTCCCCCTCTTGAGACTTCTGTTGAACTGAGTGCAATTTCTTTATGATTTTGTTTTCATCATAGCTCTTAACTTAATTTCTATTTCAGGTGAATGTTGCCTCCCTGGAGAAGGTGGTACGGGATTACCTGCAAATGGCGGAGGACAAGACAGAGAAAGCAAGGGAGGAGTCGCACCAAGCTGTTGTAGACATTGATGACCTAGATAACATGATGACACCTGAGAGCATCCTCCTGAGGTATGTCATAGGCAAAGATATGTTACTCTTGGATGTACCCTACAATAGCAGTTCTCAGCCAGTGGACAGTGGCCCACCAGTGAGCCTATGCACCTTTCACTGGTCCATGCAGTAATCTTCATTCTTTGTGGTATATGTATGGGCAGTCTTAGGATTGATTCTGTATGAGGCTGACTATGTATTTGGAAGATGTGCAAATGGATATCTTGAGTGAGACACAATATATCTAAGAATTAGAGGGATGCTTTACAGGGTCAATACATAGTATAGGGGGATTGTTCGTTAGACGCACACCTGAGGCACCCTGCATTCATTAGACGCACACTATGTTCCAATTGCACACCACTGCTCCATTAAGGGGGAGTGGGGCTAATGGGGGCTTAGAAGGGGTGGGTGCCCCCCCCCCCCCAAATTTTCATCCCTGCAGAAGGCCTCTTTTTGGCTATGGTAATCCTACCAAACCCCTTATATTACTTGTTTGTCCTCTTCCGAATAAGTCTTGACACATCAAAGTCTGTTGTAAAACGTAGGTTCGCAGCCGTGCTGGTGTAGTCCATACGCAGCTATGGTAGAACCCTTGGTGACGTGCCTTTCAACGATTGGGAGCAGTGTCCGCTTGTCTTGTCTAGGGACGATGACTAGTCTTGTTTTGGTCATGCCACCATGCCAATCCAAAAATCCATGAACCGACAACTCGATTGGCATAGTTTTGGCGTGCTGGGGGGAAGTTGTTGCCCGCCATAATCCGTCCCCTATTGTTTTTTTGCCTCCCACTGGTGCACATGATATAAAGTAAGACATGATAAATATGAGAGCCATCAATACACAATGCTCACCGAAAACAGCTTTCGTCGATCTCAACGATTTCACCTCATCCGCCCATTTGAGGTGCGCCTTGGAAGGTGCGGACGAGAACTTCCCTAATAAGATTCCTCCAGTCCACGAGCGTTTCGCTTCTCTTCGAGGATATGTATGTTGATAAGAGGGGCTGTGATTGCCGTATTGAAAGATCGAGAGCCCAGCAGTACACAAGCATAAGGATGGTTCATATGCTTAGCTTAGTGCATGGTTTCCCATCAGCGCCCTGGAAGGAGAACCAGCAGCCATTCCTTCCAGCCCTTGCCCCCCCAAGACTTCTGGGCCATTCCCGGCACTGCGATAGCGCTTGCATTGGTTGCAGCGTATTATGGGGTTTCTGGAGCCATTAGATCCCTTCCTCGTTGCATCATACAGTGTCCCTGTCATGCAAGAATCTAAGTTATCTATGTGACTCTCAAAAAGCAAAGACCTCCGACTGAGTAAAGAAATAAAACAAAATAATGCATCTGGGTAATTGTGTCGTTTCATTTGGTCAAAGTAACTTTGACGTTACATTACCCCAACAAAGAAAGTGTTTGATTTCAATTTGGCTTGGTAAAAATTTGCTATAAATTATTTTAAAGCTTTAAAGTAATACTAGATATGCACAAAGCAACGTAATGGTATAAGTGGGAAACTTGTGCAAGCAGGAGTATAGGTGCAACGCAGAGCTTGAGGAAGCTGGTGATTGGTTATGGCAAGGAGGAGACGGTGTGCTCTGGCATAGTCAATTGCTGCTCCGTCCGTTCGTAGAGACGTGGAGATTTCAAAGATGTCTGGATCAGAACGTGCCATTGCTTGAAGTAATGAAAAGCGATTTTTGAGACCTCCCTTTTATTCTGAGATGAAGGCCATTCTTTGGAGCATCCAGAACAGGTTTAATATCTTAAAGGGTATCAACCTATGCCTTCCTAATCCCTTTCAACGGATAGGGAGTCGTACCATATGACCAGACGTATGGTAACCGTAGGGCTTGGAGTTCATCCTTTCCCCCCCCTCCCCCCATACCTCCATTTGCCCCACCCCCCCTTCAGAACATTTTTACACCTACCCACGTACCATATTGTGAGGTGTGCACAGGTGAACGGTGGTGTGCGTAATGGAGCAGTGGTGTGCGTCTAACAAACAATACCCTAGTATAGCAAAGGTATCCTCCCATGTCTATCGCCTGATTAAATATGCTACTAAGTTCTTTAACATCAGACTGTAAAATATTCGGAAATGCAAATGTTTTGTGTGCTGGTTAATTCAAAACAAAGGAATGAATTCAATCACTAGGTTCCAAAGATTGTGACAATAGCCTAGTTTTACAAGGTACATTTACACATTTTATTTGCTTGTAGTGCTGTGAGTGGAGAAGATGTCCAGGACAGGACAGACAGAGCCATTCTCACCCCTTGGGTGCGTTTCCTCTGGGAATCATATCGCCAGTGCTTGGACCTGCTCCATGTCAATGCACGTCTGGAAAGGCTCTATCATGACATTGCTCAACAGGTGAGCTATGCATTTTTTAAAATGGTGTCTGAGCTTTGTTTTCATGCAATTTCTGCAGTGCTTTACTCTTGAATTTTTGTTGCACCCACAGTCTTTCAAATTTTGCCTCAAGTATGGACGAAAGACTGAGTTTAGGAAGTTATGTGACAGCCTTCGGAAGCACTTGGCAAAGATTGTGAAGCAACAAGCATCTGGTGTGACTGCCAGCAATTTGAATAACGCAGAAACTCAAGCCATCAATCTGGAGACTCGATTGGCTCAGCTTGATATTGCCATCCAGATGGAACTCTGGCAGGTGGGTCTACTTTTCACCTTCAAAATGCTCTCTTTCTTGCTTTGCTTACAGAGAGTAATGTCAGGATATCTTTATTCTCCCTTTAAGGAAGCATACAAGGCAATTGAGGACATTCATGGACTCATGAACCTGTCCAAGAAAATGCCAAAGCCACAAATGATGGCCAATTATTATCAGAAGTGCGCTCTGGTGTTCTGGAAGGCTGGGAATCACCGCTTTCACGGAGCAGCATTGTTTCGGTTGTATCAACTATCCAGGGATCTGAAGAAGAACGTCAGTATCACTGAGCAGCAAAAGTATGGTCTTTTCTGACTATCATTGTAACATGCCAATTGTTGCATAATCATGTCCTTGCCTGAACTTATATCAACTCCAATTCTACAGGATGGCTAGTCAGGTTCTTTTGGCAGCACTTGGAGTCCCACTGCCCTCCAGTCACCCAGAATTTGATAGGTTTATTGAGACAGAAAAGAGTGCCATGGAGAATCTTCAGAAGCTGGCTGTGCTCCTTGCTCTTCCGTCTCCTCCTAACCGTGCTGGACTTGTTCGGGACTTGGTTGGTGAACTTCAAGTGGCTTATGGCTATATTATGTGAATGGTTGGGTGTCTTAATGTTCTCTCTTGTTGCAGGTTCGCTACAATGTCATTCAGTTGGCTCCACCTCCCTTGCAGGAGCTTTATAACTTGCTGGAGGTTACATACTCACCCCTGAAGCTCTGTCCAAGAGTGCAGAAAATCTTAGATCATGTAGAAAACCATGAGGATTTGAAGAGCTTCTCTCATTACATACCAGCCATCAAGAAAATGACCCTTGTTCGGCTCATTAAGCAGGTGGGTTGATCTTTCTTGTCATGAAAAGTTCCACCTCACCCAGAGGCCTGTAGATGGAAATGATTTGGACTGAAGGAGATTCTTTCTGTTTGTGCCAGTTATTAGTTGCATAAAGTGAGAATTCAGTCCAAAAAAGTGTGACAGAGTTGATAATGAACCTTATTGTACTGTCAAATTTTCTTTGCAGCTGGCACAAATCTACCAGACAATTGAACTCAAGCGCATGTTGGAGTTGGCATGCTTCACAAATTCCTTTGAGCTGGAGAGGATCATAGTGGAATTGGCACGTCACAACGACATGCAGGTAAATTACTTTAAATTCTTAATAGTTTATTCTCTACCTTACAACAGCTGTGGAACTGTAACATGTGCTTTGAACTTTACTTCTATACACAAAATGGCTTCAGCTTAAACCAATATTTCTGCCATTGATGTGATCTACTTTAGACTAACTTAGTCTACTTGCTATTTTTTCAATTCAAGTGTGCTATAACTGCTTTGATTACATAATTTTAGCCATAAGCACAGGATCTTTCATCTGCCAAGCCAGCTATTGCAGGTTTTCATTATAGAATATCCAGTGCAGAGCAATTTGACAGGTACTGTACTTACATATGAGTGAGGAGCTTCCCTTCAAATGTAGGGTGATGTAGTATGGAATGTGAACATGCTAATTGAAGGATCAATCCTTATCTCAAGGATGTGTACACTACTAGGTACAATTGAAATGTAATTTTATATTTCATTGAAGGTTCAATTATTAAAATTTTATGTCCACCAGGTTTTTAGATATAGATCCAGGAATATTAATGCAGTATTCATAATTCTCCTTAATTCTTTCCTTGTGCAATGTTGGTGTTCTGTGGAAAAGAAATTGTTTAGCTGGCAGTACAAAAACAGATCCAAATGTGAAAAGAAAATTGAAAAGCAATGCAGTTTTAACACCGCATGTCTCTCTAAGATATTCTGAGGTATGATAGAAGCTTGCAAACAGAAATGAAATTAACATTGTGCCACTTGTAGGTCCGCCTTGACCATCAACGTGGCTGCATTCATTTTGGTACGGACTTGAGTCAAGCACAACGTGAGGACCTACCAGAAGGCCCATCTCTTCAGTCTATGCCATCAGAAGAGATCCGAACACAACTGATTCGAATGCATCATGTCCTCAGTGAGGCTTTCCTCACCATTCAGCCTGAGCATTTACAGGTAAATTTTATTGGACTTTTATTGCCAAATTTTTATCCAGTTTGCTATGTCTTGATCACAAAAGTATTCACACACATATTCATCTACATACTCAGATCCAAAGGGATGCCAACATGAAGGAACTTGTCCGCATCTATGAGAAGACGAAGGCAAGGGAGCACCAGCGTATACTCAGCCGTCAACAGATCATAGAAGATCGTAAGGAGCTGCTGGAGAACCTGACTCTGCAGCGCGAAGAGGAGGAACGACGTGCTCAGGAGGAGGCACTGCATCGACTCCGTGAGGCTGAGCAGCAACGTCTGGAGCGGGAGCTCGAAGAGAGGGAAGAACGGCGGCGGAAGGAGGAGCAACGTGCCATCACTCAGCGACAAATCAAGGATCGCCTCGACCAGCTTTCCCAGACCCCACTGGGGATGAAGATCATCGCCAAGCTTGATGATGATGAAATCAAGCAACTGGATGCTGATGCCATAGTGCAGAAGCAGGTGGAGGAGCTGGAGAAGGAAAGGCAGGAGATGCAGGCTCGCATGAAGGCTCAGTTCAAGAAAGTGGATCACCTTGAAAGAGCCAAGCGTTTGGAGGAAATCCCACTTCTTTCTGCTTATTTTGAGAAGGAACAGGTGAGTGCATGTGTATGGTGAATACATTATGAAGGCTTTGAGGTTTCGAATAAGCCAGGCATTAATGTAAGACTTTGTAAACTCTATTTGCATTTCATGCACAGGCTACCCAGAAGGAATATTGGGAGGCAGCAGAGAAAGAGCGTATTGAAACCATCCAAGAGGAACGGCAGCAGTCCCTCGCTCATCATCATCGCTTGGCTCGCATAACAGATGATTACAAGGCTTTTGTATCTAAGCTGAAGAAGGAAAGGCAGTCAGCATATCAGGTTTGAACCCTTATTTGTGCCACCCTCTCCAGAAAAGTTACCTTTCAGTTTTTCACGACCATCATGATGGTGATGAATGGGAACATGCCATTACTGCATAAGATAAATTTTGAATGTATTTTTTGGTATGTAAAGTAAAATGTGTGTGTCTGTGAATTTTGTTTCAAGTGGGAAATGTTATACTTTGCATGTGTATAATCATTAAGATGTCCCGTCCAATCTGAACTGGAAGGTACTTGTGCTTTATTATGTTGCCATTATAAAATGCATTTTTGCATACTTCTGATGCACTAATGACAAAGCAAGGAACCTTCCTTTTCCACTTGTGCATTCAAAAATTCAAATACAGCCTGAATTTTGAATGAACACTGAGAACAGTGGTTCATGATTTTTTTTGTAAAATTCTTCACAAAGCCACTCCATGATGGAGGAGACCTTGTTTGCTTATGTCTCAAGAACACATCTGATTTCATATCAAATTCTAAGACCCAAGAATTGTGCCTTTATTTTTGTAGACTGTTTGCAGCCTTGAGAAGATAAGACATGTATTGAAGCAAGCCACACTTGAAGCCACAATTTTGAGGATACATCTCTCATCTTTTGATGGGAACTATGAACAGAGTTAAAATATGAGTGACTGATTGTTTCTTCTAAAAGGCACGGCTCAAGGAATATGAGAAGACTGTGGGAGAAGAGAGAAAGAAGAGATTGGAAGAAAGGAAAGAGAAGAGGAAAATAGAGAGAAGAGAGAAGTGGCTGAAGGCAAAGGAGGAGGAAGAGGTGAGGAAGAAGGAAGAAGATATCAGAAGGCAAATAGAGGAAGAGAAGGAAAAGGAAAGGTATGACCGTTTGTGAAGGAAATTCTAGATATATTGTTTACTTAATCACCAGGTGATGGGTGCATTTGAGGTTCAACTGGGAATATCAACTCATGGATAATAAAGCCACAGATATTCCTTCAGGCTCATGCAAGTACCAAATTTCACTAAATTGAATGAAATTTGAATCTGGATGGTAGAAATTGGAGGTGCAATGGAAGCAATGATGAAGGAAGGAGGTGGAGTGGTTGCTGATAGGCCAGCCTGCATGTCAGCTGCATTTTGTAATAGGTCTATATTGGTTCCTGTTCCCAATGCTGCAATTTTGATTCCCCCTTCTCACTAGTCTTTCAACTATCTGTAAAATGTTTAACTTAATTCTCATTTCCTCCATTCTAAAGGAATCCTTGAGCTAAGTTCTATCTGCAAAAGAAAGTCTTAACTGTTTGGACTACATGATGTGGCTGCAACTTTACAGAATTAACTCCAAATATGTTCCTGGTTTTTCTCTTCTCATGGCACTCAATAAGAGTAGTTATATTGATTCATATTTTGGAAAGTGATGGTCATTGGCTTCAACTATATTATCTTGTAGGAAGGAGAGGGAAAAACTGGATGCATTAGCAGAGAAGCAAAAGCAAAAGGAGAGAGAAGCCGAGGAGAAGCAGCGGAGACTGGAAGAGGAGTTAATGCGAGAGAAGGAAAGGGAACGGGAGGATAGAGACAAAGACCATCGGGTGCAAAATGAGGACAACTGGAGACGGAAGGAAAGGGATGGTGGTGGAGCTGGAGAGTCAGACAGCAGGAAGAATCCTACCCCTTGGAGACCTGCTAGGGAGAGAGGAGGTTGGTGGACTTTGTTTGGCCCTTATATTTAATAGTCCTCTCTTCCAAGAGTGCAATTCTCTCCTCTCTTTGAGTAGAGGAATGGCGAAGGAGGGAGCAAGCAAAGGAAGAGCAATATGCACCACGGCGAGAAAGGGACTTTGACGATCGGGATCGAGACAGGGACCGTGATCGATGGGGAGATCGCAGGGACTTTGGTGATAGGGATAGGACCAGGGGAAGGGGATATGATCGAGATCGGGATCGGGATCGAGACTTTGGTGGCCCGGATCGAGATCGGGATCGAGATATCCGGCGAGCTCCTGAGGAGACCTCGTCATGGCGCAGGTAAATCATCTTCCTGGGAATAGGAATCAATGTCTGCAGTCAAGAATGTTTATTTTGCTTCTCTTCCAAGAAAAGAAACAGGCCATTTATACTCTCACCATGAGTATATTAATATTTGTTAAGCTGTTCCAACTTGGAAGTATTGCCTTCACTATGATGAATATAAGGAAGCTCCTATGGACAATGTACAACTGGATTTGCTTTTGGTGAAGCTGCTTTTAAAAATGATCTTAGTGTGACATTTGCTCATTATTAAGTTACTACACAGGCAGAAATTGCTTTATTTTTAATAGTAAAATCTTACTTCTTCCTCAGAAGTGAACAACTCCCAATCTTTACTCTGCCATTCTCATGGCTCTGTTTTTCAATTTTTGATTCTTGTTTCAGCAAAAAGCAACCAAATAAATTTTAGTCCTCTAAAAAGAGCCTCCCTTGAGTTTACAATCTTAAGTGATAGCCAAATTATAAAAATATTGGATGTGAACAAAAGGGTTACGCTGGAGAATGCTTCCAGGAGACAGTGTGGTGTGTGGTGTAGATGGTTACCATTGGGGTGAAGGATGGGTGACCCATTGGGCTTGAGTGCATTCCTTAGGGCTATCCATTTCACCTGGGTCCTCAATGAGAGTCTGCTACTGTTATTTACTGACATTTTATTTCTTAGATAGGTTTGCTATTGGATGAATTGTCATCAAGGACATATAGATGAAAATTTTATTTCAGTTCATTTGTGACCTGTCATAAAAATTACTGTATAATAGTGTGAAGCAATGGTCTCCCTGCAAACATTAATTTATGGTACATGCTGACATGCAGACATGTGGGTATTTGCATGAGGAGGAGCCCATGTGTCTGTCAAAGAGAGGAGATTCACTATGAATGTTACCATGAAGTGAATTGCAGTGTTGAAGATTCGTGAGACTGTATTTTGTTTAAATGAGGGAAGATGTAGGTCCACTTCTGGACTAGCTTGCTAAGCTTTTCTTCTGACTACTCTGAGCAGAGGAGGAGAGAGAGATGATGACAAGAAAGTGGATGAAAAGAAGCCCACTGGAGACCATGATTCTTGGCGGGAGTTCCCTCGGGATCGAGATCGAGATAAGGACTTCAGGTGAATGTCCCAGTGGATGCTCATGTGATCCCATAATCCTGTTAGTTGCCTACATAGTCTTTTGTTTCCAGGCGGGATCGTGATCGTGATCGTGACCGTGACCGTGACGTGACCGTGACCGTGACCGTGATCGTGATCACGATGACAGGACAAGGGGGCCCCCTGCTGTACGTGATGATGGTGGCTCTTGGAGAACTAGGGGGGATCGCGATAGAGACAAGGAAAGGGAACCCCCACCTATCAGGTTCCTATCTCTTTTATGGTCCTTCATTTTAGGCCCTTAACACTTCTAGGTATGACTTCTGGGTAAGAAGTTTGCAGGTAACAAAGCTACAACAGAAACCTATTTCAAATTCAAGAGCAAATGCCATATGCAGGTCCTGTGGCACAGTTTTTCAGTTTATTTTTAGTGATTTTACATTTCTTTAGATCTTCTATCTCTATTGGCCTTTTCTGGCTGCTTAACCCTTATAGTGCCAGAGTCTATTACAGCGACACGACAAGTATCGCTTCAAAATGCCAGTGTCAAAAGTTCGAGAAGTAACACGATTGGACTAGATACATTTCTTAACCCTTTAATCGTCTGCTCTTCACCACTGGCCTTTTTCATTGAAATTCATAGTATTGCTCTAATCTGCTCTGGCACTACATGGGCTAATGCATATACTGACAACATATAGGCTTTTGGAATGAGGTTTTTCTTTTATCATGTAGAATTTTCACAAATCACTATGCAGTCTTTGACCAGGTGCAAACTTGACACACCATCCTCTGCAGCAGTTTCCAGTTTTGTTTCAGAAATTTGACCAACAGGTTTGTGAATGTCTCTCTTCACTGCTATAGGTCGAAGTTGAGAAATCCTGCTTTGGTGCTTGAATGGTAACGCCGAAAGCAGCTGCAGAGGTTGTATCGGTCTTTCACTATTTCAAGCTGAAGTTGAATATTTTTGGAGAAGCTGAACTGCTCTCAAGGGCACTCTGGATGTTGAAAATGAATGTCCTTAGCCTGAAACTTTTTTGTTTTTCCATCCCTCTTTTCTTCAGAAACAAGGGCTGTAAGTTGTTACTTTGAAATGATCATGAGTCTTTTCATTGGAATCAACTATGAATTAGTTCTCCTCTCTCCATGTAGCATAAAGCATTCAAAAACTAATATTTTGAAGCTAACCAGGCAGTGGACATTGGGTTCATTCATCCTGGGTTGTTATTTGACATAAAGTGTAAAGAGCTTCAAAATGACCAGTGGTTGAGTCTTGGTCGGATTTAGTGATGGCTCTGATATTCTTCATTGCATGCAGGGACAGGGATGATGAAAGAAGGGGAGGCAGGGGAAGGGAATGGAGAGACCATAGGTAAGTGGCCCAAATGAATAGATCTAAAATAAAAGTAGGAAGAGGCAGTACTTCTTTTTTTAACATCTCATATGGTTGTCTCTTGGCAAGCATTCTCTCTAGGGATTATGATAATGCAGTAATCAGATGGGCTTATCTAGTAATGCTAGTGCAATGATGTATGACCATTGTATGTGGGAGAAGTGATTCCAAAGATTCGTGCTTCGTGTGTAGGGATGATCGATTTGAAGATCGAAGAAGAGTCGATGACGATCGCGATCGCGGAGTGTGGAGAAGAGATGACGATCGAGACCGGCGTGGTGGAGGATTTGGTGGGCCCAGACGCTTGCCAGCCGGCAAGGATGCAGATCGTGATAAGGAGCCACCAGGTTAGCCTCTTTGATGGTGTTCATCAGGCTGGAGCAGACTCACCATGAATGTATCTGCCATTTCCCTTCCAGAACTCGATCGGCGGAGAGACGAAACGGAAGAAGACGGGTGGACTAAAGTTAGCCGCTAGGGTGCTAGACCCCGACGAGTTGCCTGCCTGTTGTATTGCATATACATAGAGAGACTGAAAAAGAAAACAACAGGTCAAGGCTTCCTCCTTGCTGCTGGGTGCATCCCAGGGCTTTCAGAGCTCTCAAATCGTGTTATCTTCTCCAGTTTTCTATTGTCCGTGTCGCAATTTTTTTTGGCACGGCCTTACTTTTTGATGCATCCTTTTGTGCATGGAAAAATGTTAACGGCGATAAAGTCCAGCTCAACACCAATCAGTCATCTGAAAGATGCTTTCTGATGCCTCAGTAAGACCTGCAAGTTTCATGCAGTAGATCCCAGATGAAAGGAGTAGAGGGAGTTGCTACAAGGTTCAAACTACACTCTGATGAGAAGGGCTTTTCTTATTTGTTCTTTGTGCTTTGAACTGTAGTCCCTTCTCCGACCCCCTTTTTTATGCTTCCATTTGAAAAGTTGGAGATTTGTTACAGGCTTAGTCACAGCCTGAAGTTGAATCGTGTGGACTGCTAGTATGGTTATGGTTCTGGGGGTGCAGGGTTGACCACAAAACATGAGAACATTTGTTTTGGTCAGAATGTCGATCTCGGCATCGAGAGGCAACTCGTTCTCGATCAGATCTTTGCATTCATAGTGTTCCTAAGATGTCGAAATCTCCGGTTCTCATCTGCAAGCATCTGGTGATGGCAGCACTTAATTGTCGAAGAGAGGAAAGTTTGCTTCTGCTTTCAGATCCGCAGGAGATTTATTCTAGATCACGCTTGAAATGCATCCAAAATTCTCAAATGTATTTGTACTTTCTCAGCTCTTGATGATTTAACTGCCTTCCCCCTTGAGATGCATGTTTTCCTGCTGACAACCCTGATAGCTGTTGCTGCAACCAGATGATGCCCCCCCCCCCCCCCACGTCGAGTGCCGAGCCGGTCAGGAAACGTGAGGCTGTGGACTTGCGCTTTAAACTTGCAGGTCTGAATCCAGGGACGATGGAAACTGATTTGGATCCAGGCTCGGGTTGGGGAAGGTCCGAAGCTGCGTATTTGTTCTATTTTTGTGAGTGAAAAACGTTTCCCCTGCCCTGAAGGTGTCTTGCTTTTTTTAATTATTCTTTGTGTAGTATTTGCTTTGGTCATGTCTTGAATGAAAGCCATTTTTGGGAAGGGAACATTGAATCTATAAAAAAAAAAGGCCTGTGCACACGATCTTCGAGTTTCTTTTCGAGGTGTTTCCTAGCACGAGACCTAAGACAGGGATTGGGAATCTATGAGCCAAGTTTGGCTCATTGAGTCACGGCTGAAAATCATGGTGGTTTCTAATTTTTTTCATGCTTCAAAGAATGCATGTGTCTGTTGCCAATTTCAGGAAAAATTATGTTCTGAAAATCTTTCGCTCACAAGCACTTGGCTCGATATTAATATGACTCACGGCCGGAAAGGTTCCCGACCCCTGACCTAAAAGCATCACGAGAACGATATCAGTGTTCATCTTCGATTCCCAGCCTGCGTGTAATTAAGTGAATGCGGAAGGCAGTTCTGTACGCCTCGACGGTTTTCGCCGTGTGAGGAACCGGGCGGGAGAAGCTTTTCTCTCGTCTGTGGACGCGGTGGGCGATTTCTCGCTTCGGTGTTGTCGGCTCTCGAGCGACCGCGAGGTAGTCCTCGATCTGCCGACGGGGCTTTCGCTGGGCCCACCCGATGCGATTCAGGGCTGCTCGGTTCTGGGGCCTCGTTCGTGGAAACTGCGTTGCCGTGACGCGTCCATCGCGCTGGCGCCGCGAGTCGCAGGAGAACTCTTTCGCGAAAATTTTCCGCGCGTCCTTGTCGTCTTCGCTTTCGCGACGATTTCTAGCGCGATCGGAGGTCCTGCCGAATCTCTGGAAGCACCTTAAAATTCCGTAAGCATATGATCGAGCTCCTCCGGGGATTCCCCGGCCCCACCTCGCTTCCGAGCGGGGAACGGCCGCAGGAAGTGTTTAGTCCGATCGTGGTGAACGGAAATCGTTTTTCGATTTTGTGTTTTAAGAGAAATATTTGTTATATTGTTTGGTTAACAAAAAAAAAAAACCTACCGTTTTCTATGGGAGAAACAGTTTCATAAATGTAGCAAAAAAATAACCTTGGATACGCGAACGATATTTGAGAGTTACAAGGCGTTAAAACGCTTGCCAGGTTTTTTTTTTTTCAGCACCCCTGCCTAAAGGCCCTGTTACACTAGGCGAGTACTCAGTAGGGCACTCGCTACGAGTTTGAAAAGTTTCAAACCTCGGGCGAGTATCCGCTAGCAAGAACCGATCGAAAGGCAAGATGGAGCCCCACTTCTCCCACGACAGGAGTCGAAAAGGTCAACGCGAAGGAACGAGTTCGGGATGCGTCTCCATCAGTCGCCGTTCGACGCCAGTGTCGCTGCTGCCCTCATTGGGGTATGGTACATCATCGGGAAGAGCCCGCTCTTTCCTGATGGCTCTTCCTGATGTACAACGGACGAGTTTGGACGATGCTCTCTGGCTCTCGAAAAGATTTACTCTGGTGGCGCACGATTTTTTACTGCCACGCCGAAAAGAGTCGATTCCCAATCGCGTCGCTGGCTCGCTTCGAACGAACGAGGCAGCCTCCCAGAGAGACTCTCGGAGAAGGTGGCTCCGAGGGTAACGAAGAAGGCGGTGGTACTGACGGGCCCGACCGGAGGAATCGCTCGTTTCGTCCCTTCGTTACCTTGCCAGGTGTGAAACTCGTAGGGGGTCGGCCGTGGCCGCTTCGCGACCGAAGAGGTTGGGATGAATTAAATACGAAGCGGGTGGCTCGTGGATCTTCGGAAAAATCGTTCGAACGGGATCGAGGACGTCTGTCTCGGCTTTCCTCGGCCTCCCGAGTGTCATTTTGACAGACGGTTTGACGATCGGCGTGCCGTCGCGTCGTCGACTAGGTCCACCGCGACCGATGAGAACTCGGACTTTCGGCGGGCAGCCATCACCTTTGCACACGATTGTATCAGGCGCTCAAGAAAAGGAAATTCCCCATCCGCGGAATAGACGGCTGGCAGTCCGAATCCGAGCGAATGGCAAGCCCTCGCTAGCGAGCGTTCGCCGAGTGCAACAGGGCCTTAAGTCGTGCAACGCCCCTTTAGAGGCGAATTAAAGGTGCTTCGAGGTGGGTCGTTCCACCTCGAGTGAGGTCGTTTACCTGCGCTCGACCGTCGCAGAATTCCATCAACTTCTCAAGGGACGGTGGGATCCAGCTGATGCTTGACAGCCCTCTATGAGGATGCAGCGCCCATCTTGCGAAAGTGGGGAGAAAAAAAAAAGAAAAATCCCCTTTAGACTCACGAACCTCTCTGTCATGTATCAGCTGGATTCCACTGTCCCTTGAAAAGTTAAAGCTGATGGAATTCTGAGACGGTCGAGCACAGGTCGTTCCACCTCGAAGCACCTTTAATTCGCCTCTAAATGGGCGTTGCACGACTTAGGCAGGGGCGCTGAAAAAAAAAAAAAAAGCTGGCAAGCATTTCAACGCCTTGTAACTCTCAAATATCGATCGCGCATCCGTTGTAATTTTTTTGCTGCATTTATGAAACTGTGTTTCTCCCATAGGAAACGATAGAGCGTTTTTTTTTTTTTTTTACCGCCCCATATTTAAGTTTCGATGGAGCGACTGGACTGCGAAGAATTCGTGGTGTCGACATTTCCACGAACGGCGAACGTCTGGCCAAAGACGCGAAAAGAAAAGAATGCAGTCAAATCTCAGGGTCGAAGGTCGGCGGACCGCCGGGGCGAGCGTCGCGTGCCGCGACGGGACGACTCGGCATCGACTTGTAAAAAAAAAATGTGGAGGGGCGAGGTCCTAATGCCCCTGATATAACGCTGACGGAATCGTTCCGGGATCCACCGTGGGGTAGCCGTACTTTTGTTGTATTTTCATCACACTGGGGGCGTTGCCCCCCGATAACGTCGTGGGGGGGGGGCACGTGCCCCTTTGCCCCCACGGGTCCGGCGCGTGTGCTCGAACTGCGGGCGGGACGGCGTCTCGGAGGGAGGGCGGCGAAGGCGACATCGAGCGAACGGAGACTCGATCGCGGCTGGAGACGTCGTTATCCGAGGTGGAGGCATGCGAATCGCCGCCGTGCGCTTCGTCCTTCGCGTGCGAGAAGAGCGGGAGGGTCGAGGAACTTCCGGGCTTTCTCGAGGTCGGGGATTTCGATGGAAGAAGCAGGGACGAAGGGAAGATACGAGGAGGAGGCTTAGAGGGCTGGAGAGCTGGAGGGTTGGAGGGCTGGAGGGCTGGAGAGCTGGAGGGTTGGAGGCTGAAGGGCTGGAGAGCTGGAGGGTTGGAGGCTGAAGGGCTGGAGGGTTGGAGGTTGGAGGTTGGAGGCTGAAGGGCTGGAGGGTTGGAGGTTGGAGGTTTGGAGGCTGAAGGACTGAAGGGCTTGTTGGTGTGCACGAGCGATTTTTCGCCAGAGCGGATCGAATGAGGAGCCGTAGGGGCTCGGTTTCGAGCCCGTTTCTTCTCGGCTTCGGCTCGGTTTTTCGTTTATCAATCATTGTGATTATTTTCTTTTGCTCGGTGGAGGCCGAATAGCGTCCAAGAGACCGGAAAAGAAAAATTCCCTCACCCTCGGTTGCTCATCGCGGATTCATGGGTTCCGCTCGTTCCGCCCGCAAGGGATTTCTTCCGCTCCGTTCCCTATCGCAGCCTCCCAGTTCCTCTCTTCCTTTTCCTCCTCCTTTCCCCCCTCCTTCCCCCCTCCTTCCCCCCTTTCCTGGTCCTCTGCACTCCTTCTAGGGTGTAGGGGGCTTGCGCGGGGGAGGCAGCCGGTGTTAGTGGGTGTTTCCGTCGGTTTCTGAGGGAATGAGGCGGGTTTCGCGGTCGGGGACGGGGGTGTCGAGTTTCGGTCTGGGCGTGTCGTGCTTCGGTCCGAGGGTGTCGTGCTTCGTGTGCCGAGTCGGATGGAGGAGTCGGACGCTCCGCGTCACGTGTCGACCCGGACGGTCGTCGTGGTCGTCTACCTGTCGCTCTTCCTCGATAACATGCTCCTCACCGTCGTCGGTAAGCGCCGCGCCCCGACGGAACGGGAACGGGAACGGGAACGGATGCGAGAGGTGAGTGTCGTTCGTTTGTCGCCCCAGCCCCGATCGTGCCGGATTACCTTCGGACGCTGGAGACGCGGAACTGGACGGACGAGGCGACCTTCCGACTTCTCAACCGGACGCACCGTCGCCTGGAAGAGCGGATCAGAGAGAGGGGTGAGCCGGCAAAAACCTTCTAGAGGACGAAACTGTTCTAGACGACAAAAACGTTCTAGTGGGCAAAAAACGTTCTCGAGGGCAGTCCCATCTCGTTTCCGCGGCTACCGGCTTTTCCTCGTCCGCCTAGGGATTTCGGGACGCCGGCACGCCCCCGGGTCGGATGACCCGGACGGACCGGACGGACCGGACGGACTGTGGATCGGGATCCTGGAGTACATCACGGAGTCCTACGGGCGCAGCGCGGAGGAGTACGCTCGGGTCGGGACGCTCTTCTCGTCCAAGGCTTTCGTGCAGCTTCTCTTCAATCCGCTCGTCGGGTGGTGGGCGGGGAGGAGGGGGTACTCGCTCCCGCTCACTGTCGGTACTGGGTGTCTCTTCGCTTCGGCGACGCGTCAGTTCTTTTCTTATACCTCTTTTTTTTTTTAGGGGGCGGGGGGTGGGGGGGGGCTTTGGGATTCGAGAGTTGGCATGGAGCGGGGGGAAATTTTTTTGTTTTCACCATATCGTTTCTTCGTCCTTTCCCGTGGAAATGGAAACTGAAGCCGTGCCTGCGGTTTTATTTCTTCGTTTTTCAGTGTACATATTCGGAAGGAGCTACGCGGTCCTGTTCGTCGCCAGGAGCGTCCAAGGAGTCGCTTCCGCCTGCATCAGCGTCTCAGGTCCGACCGTCGATGCGACGACCCTCGCGAGGGTGCGACGATCCTTCGGGGATGCGACGAGCCTTTGCCGTTGTCGTGCAGGGATGGGGCTGATAGCGGATCGGTTCGGGGGAGAGGAGGAGACGCGGAGCAGGGTGATGGGGTTCGTGATGGGAGGGATCGCCCTGGGGGTCCTCGTCGGGTATCCGCTGGGGGGGATCCTCTACGTCTTCGTGGGGATGGCGGCGCCCTTCGTCCTCGTTGCTCTGCTCGTGCTGCTCGATGGAGGTGAGGGGAGGGAGGGAGGGAGGGAGGAGGGGAGGAGGAAAGGAGGAGGGCTCACGGGCGTTCTTTCTGTGCGCAGTTCTGCAGGTGGCGTGGCTTCATCCGTCGGCGAGGCCAGAGGTGAGGAGGGGGTGGGGAGGGTGAGGCGAGGCGAGGTGAGGTGAGGTGAGGTCCATCTTTTTCGTTCTCGGATCAGAGGGGGCAGGTGGGGACGGGGCTGCACGTGCTGCTGAAGGACTCGTGCATCTTGATGGCGGCGGGGTCCATCTGCTGCTCGACGTGTGCCATGGCCGTGCTGGAACCGCTGCTGCCGCTCTGGCTGGAGGACACCATTCGTCCAGAGGTTCCGCACTCGTTTGATCGTCGTTAGGAAATGGGAGAACGAAGGGTGGAAGGGGTGGATCCGCCGTTGCAGAAGTGGCAGCTGGGGATGGTGTTCATCCCGGACAGCATCGGGTACCTGCTCGGCACGAACTGCTTCGGGGCGTGGGCGTATCGGGTCGGGCGACATCAGGTGGCGGCGGCGGCCATGGTCCTCACCGGCTTCTGCGCCTTCATGGTCGCTCCTTTTTCCGTGCCTTTTCCGTGCCTTTTCGGTACCTTTTTCGTTGCCTCGTTTTCTGGGGATTTTGACTCGCGGATGAGAATGGTTTGAACTGTACTTGTACGATAAGGGTGGCGCAGGATGGCGATTTCACGGGGGGCTTCAGATGATGATGGGCCCCTTTCTGTCGATGTTCGCAGCGATGAGCACAGGAATTGAATACAGGAATTCCCTTTTTCCGAGCTGCAGTCATCTTATATGTTAGATTCTACAAAATAAGTTGATGAATTTTATTGTTTTACATTTTTTTTTTTTTACCAATCTGTCTTCTTCAACTTCCGAGTCACGTTGAGGTTCAGGTTTTTGCTTCTTCAGCTTTGTTCCCCTCTATTCAGATATAGCTCGTCCAAAGCAGTTTTCGACCTAGGTCCAAAAGGACTGGTCGACTCGAGGACATGCACACTTGTGGTAAGAATGAAAATTAGAACATCTATTCCCGCACCTGCCATCTAAGTAAATAAAGAAATAAATACGGTTCGCAACTAGGTGAATACGTTAAGATTTTTTAAAGGTGATTTTTTAGAGGTTGAGTGATCCCGTAAAGCCATGATTTAACCCAGCGACGCACGGAACCGCCCCCCTAGATCCCGTCGGCCCGGTCGGTGTGGGTGCTGGGCATCCCCCACTTTGGGATGGGGCTCGGGATCGGGATGGTGGACTCGGCGCTCATGCCGCTCCTCGCGCACCTCCTCGACCTGCGCTACACGGCGGTCTACGCCAACGTATATGCGATCGCGCAGGCTGCCGTCTCCCTCGCTTACTCCTTGGGTTCGTTTGTTTAAAAAAAAAATACGTTTGACTCGATTAGATTCTTGCTAGAGATCGTGCGTTCAGGTCCGCTGCTGGGAGGGCTGACGGCCAGGTCGTGGGGCTTCCCGTGGCTCATGCGCTCCGTTGGCATCATGAACCTCGTCTACTCTCCGCTCTGCTTCCTTCTCCAGACGGACCACGTCCCCGAAGAGACGCAGGTAAGGTCCCTCACGGTAAGGTCCTTCGTCCCACGTCCTCGCTCACCGCGTATCCTCGTCGCAGCCCATCACCCTGAAGGCGAGGGAGGAGCCGGGCTCGTACAAGACGACCGAGTCGATCTCCAACGAGGCCCTTCGCCGGTACGGGAAGCTTCAGGAATCCGATTCCGATTGATGGATGACCCGGCCTCCGCGTCCCCGCTTCCGCGCCTCGCTCCCTGGCTTCTGCGCATCCTCTCTCCCGTCTGGTCCGGGGGGCAGACGAGCCGCGTCTCGTTCCGTGTTCGTGTCGTGTCGTCGGAGTGTCGAGCGGTATGCAGTTCGTATGCGCTCTCTTTCCTGTTCGGTTTCGTAGCGAGTGTTGACCTTTCACCTATCCTGTGTCAGTAAAACTGCATTGTGCGTGCAATATTAGCTTCGATATGCGCTGACTTCAGCGTCTTTTTTTCCTCTCACAATCACGAAATGGCGCATTGCAAAGGATATTTAAAAATGCAAATTACCGGTAGACTCAATTTCAGTTCCAGTTCTAGTCCCAGTTCGCTTGGATAGAAATGATATGGACTGTCAAAGCCCTCGACGATAGGTATCGTTCCCGAAATTCCAGTTTCAACGACTCAACGCAGCCACCCTGCCGGTTCCTTGTATGTGCTTCGCGATGCAAACTTTTACAACCGCGTTTACGTGACTTCCGGAGTCTCTTGATTGAAAGACGCCGTTTCTCCCAACTCATTCATTTCTCACCAAACATCGAGTCCAATGCACACAGAAGCGAGGAGGCACAATCATGATATGTTCCCATGGTCCCAATTCGCGTTCGAAGCGGCAGACATGCAGGAAATACTGTGGAAGCCCGATAAGAAGCGAAAACGACAAAAAAGCGCACGCGAATCATCGATCGTCGATCTCCTCGTCACAATTAGAACATCAATTAATCCTCGCAACAAGCCATTTTTACGATTTTCCAGTCATTATAAGATTTAGCCCTGACGGCAGTTCACAATGAACCACGTGGCATCACTTTACATATAACAACGATAGGGGAAAAAAAATTGCCGGCAAGTCAACTGCTGTACAGGTCCAACAATCCCAATTTTGGGGGGATCGTTGAAACTGTACAGCGTTAAAAAAAAAAAAAATCTCGTCGATCCGTGTTACAGTCATCTGTACCCGTAATACGCTCTTGCTCTGAAGGTGAATCGCGAAGATATGTTGTTGCTTTCAAGTGCTCATTTAAATCCAATATAAGGCGAAAAGCCACTCACATTGAAGATGTGGAATATACCGTCTATACGTCCTCTCGACAAACGCCCAGCAATACATAAGGCCTAACGAAAGTTCCTTAAGGACACAAAATGATATGTGACGTTCCCAGCGATTTACTAACGCGGAAGACACCGCCCCCCCAACCCCCCCCCCCCCCCCCCCCCCCCCCCCCCCCCCCCCCCGAGGCGCCCGCGATCCCGGATCAGACGTCGGGCGCGACCTGATCCGCGAGGCTCTGGATCTCGCGCCAAGCGAAATCCACGTCTTCCTCCGTCGTCGTCCGGGCGCAGATGGAGAAGCGAAGGAAGAAAGTCTCCTTCACTCCGCCCGGGACGAGGAAGATCTTCCCGCTCTCCCTGATCAGGTTCAGAAGCATCTTGCTCCGCTCGTTCGAACCCTTCCGGGAGGACAGGAAACGTTACCCAGAGTCAAGGACCGAATCGTCCCCTTTTACTTCGTCGTACCTCGAGTCGGAAGCAGACGAGTCCCATGGCCGGCGGAAAGGGAACGGAGAATCTCGGGTCTTCGAGGAGGAGCCGGTGGAACCTGCGGGCCAATCGCACGTGCTTCCTCACGTTCTCCTGGATCCCCTCCACCCCCAGCAGACGAAAGACGAACCAGAGCTTGAGGGATCGGAAGCGCCTCCCGAGCGGGATCTGCCAGTGCTGCGCGACGAGTCCTCGAGTCAGTTCCTTGAGCTCTCGAGTGCATTCAGTTCTCGTACGGAATCATAATCTTCCTCGACTGCAATGCTCTCGCGGGTTGGGGGACGAACTTAGGCTATGTTCACGTTTCAAGGACATTTTTATCGAAAGGGGTAGGATTGATCGAAACCGTATTCTCATGTGGTCATCTGAGAAGAAATATTGAACCGAATTGATATTTGCTCGTGGGGCGTATCGTCCATCCAGTTGATTCTTCGATTGATATAGAATTCACTACCGAAGACACGAAGATATAATTCGCACGTTTCTCGTTCAAAAACTACCATTCTACTTTCGTCTCGTGCCATAGACAAGAAGCGGAGGTGAGTTAAAAGTTGGAATGTCGCCCGTTTTTAGCAAATCATTATTTTCTGTCCGTGTTTTGTGAAGTATCATTTGTTTCCCCTTTCTTCCTCTGGAGGCTACAGATACCGTACGGTACTCTCTCCATCAGGAAAAATATTTTCATCGATCTTAGACAGATGAAAATAAAATCGACATTGTCCTTGGCTCATCTCACGGCAGTTTTTTTTTTTTAACTGTCTCTAGAGACGCGACGAGCCGAAAACCCGTAGTGACTCACCCGGTAGTCGGGGACGACCCCCTGCTGGTCGTGCTTCAGATACACGGGGTCCACGTTGAAGGCGTCCACAACCAGAGAGGCGTCCTTGAACCTGGACGAGAAGGAAGAGAGACCAGTGCGTTTCCCCGTTCAGGATGTCGACCGGGGGACAGGAGTATGGAGGGTGGAGGCAGGATGTAGGAGGTAGCGGGGCAGGAGAAGTGGAGGATGGGGGCAGGGAAGTGGAGGGTTCCTACCAGAGCGCGGAGCAGTCGAAGTTGACGAGCATCCATTTATGGGGGTTGAAGTTAAAGGATTCCGCGTACTCCACTCCGTTCAGCAGATGCCGGAATTCAGGGCATATGAATGCTGCTCCTAAGAGAGGGAGGAAAGGATTTTCACGGGAACTCCCGAGGAATTTTCAAGTTATCCCGTTTATTTTAGGCGTATTTTAAGAACAGTAGCAGGGAATTTTGAGGTAGTATTATACACGTTACATATCGTTTCTCGCCACTGTCAAAATACGTCAAAATCTTGAAGCACCAAGCGATCTGCAACGTCGCTTGCAAAAAAAAAAAAAAAATCGACATGGACCTGCATAGGCCGCGTCGATGTGGAGCCAGAGCCCGAACTTCTCGCAGACCGGTCCAATCGAGAGGATGTCGTCGAACGCGCACGTTGTCGTCGTGCCCAGGGTTGCGACCACCTAAAGAAAAAAAGACCACTGTAATTGATCCAAATCTGAAATGGGTCCGTTTAGTGGGCCTCCTTCCGAGGATGGAAGGGACCGCTTGTAAAGTTCCATCCCGTCTCTTATTGCAAAAAAATCGCCTTAATGGCGGAGCCATTAAGGCGGTTCATAAAGCGGAATCAAATTTCCAAGATATGGGTTGAGTTCATTTTTGGTTAAAGACATGCCAATAAACATACTTCTTATTCAGACTTTTCAATCAACTAATGTTTTGGCAATGGAAGTTCAGACGGAGAGGAAACGGACCCACTACAGCGCCGTCATGTCTAATTTAGTCTTAATTAAATAAATCTCAAGCAAAGAAACCCAATCGAGAAATAAGTCGTTGGACTCTCCCAGCTCGCTCTCGGGCGCTCTGTATCGACCAACCACGTGGTTGCACTGTATCGGCCAGCTAGTGCGCGTTTCAACGTGCCAATTGGAGAGTTTCGCTCGGCGGGCTCGCCTTGGTGACTCGACCGGTGGCGACTCGCATGGTGCTTGCACCACCATCGCTGCACACCGTGACGAGATCGCGACTCTCTTTTCCCACTCGAAATTTAAAGAAATCTCTGGGAGACGCGAAGTCTCTTCCCCCCCCCCCCCCCCCCCCCCCCCCCCCCCCCCCCCCNCCCCCCCCCCCCCCCCCCCCCAAGGCGCCCAGTTCGAGCGGGCCGACCGCGCGACACCCCACCCACCTCGAGAAACGAGCGCGAACGGAGGACTCACGTAGCAGGGGATGAGTCCCCGAGCGAGGTCCTCCTTCACCGCCTCCTCCAGCTTCGCTCCCGTGAGGGTCAGGCTCTCGCCCGTCTCCAGGAGGTGCATCTTCATCCCTCCGAGCATCCCTGCTCTCTCGACGCTACAATGTGCTTGCTCTGTCGAGGGGAAAATTCCCTTTCAACTGGGTTTCGAGACCCACAGAGGTGGAAGTCGCGAACAAAAGAATAGAAGGGAGCGAGAGTCAATAATTGCCGACAATTTTGCGGATGATTGCCCTTTTTTGTTACCCTGGTTTAATTACCCCAATTATCCATTCCTAGAGTCTTCCATGTGCCTTAGAGCGGACCTGAGTTCTGGATCTTTTGCGCTTTTTTCACATTAACTGAAGCTTTTCACATTGATGAACTTTCACATTGACCCCTCGTAGGTTTCTCGTCAATGACATCGCAATCCTGAGTGAAGCATGCAACGGCTTGTGTGTAATAAGTCCTTGGACCCACCCACGTCCCTCTCCCGGTCACCTGGAGTGGCGAGGTTGTGGTGCGGGTGACCTTTTTCGTCCGTTTAGTGCTCGTCTACGAGGGTGTTCTGTTACAGAAGCAAGACAAAGTTGTGGCGGAAGGAGGGGGGGGGCACGTCCCTACTCGATCGTTGGGTCTGCACTGTCACCAATGCAGGCTTTCTCGGGTTATCTTCGCTTCTACGGGTGACTTACGGCTCCGGACAATTATCGGAAATTATCGGTCGACGTAGATCTCGACGAGAAATCCGCAACCGCCAAGGGGCTCTGGCGCCATCGGCGTCCCGAATTAGAGAGAACGATCGACCCGCTCCCAAGACCTCACCTGAGGTATAGGCGACGAGCATCCCAGCGATGGAGGCCTCGTTCCACTCCGGGTGCTGGGCCTTGACTGCCTTCACGGTCCTGGCTTTGGCCGCCAGCAGCGCCACCAGCGTCGCCTCGCTCGCCGTGCCCTACGGGGACGAGACCCTCCAGCCGCGACCTCACACGGGATGACGAGAAAAACTGGGAAAGCGCAGACCTGGATGACGCCTCCGCCCTTCCCGCCGGAACAGAAGAGGAACTCCTTCGGAAGGGCCAGGAGCTTCCCCAGCCAGTCCATCATGTTCATCTCCAACTCCGTGCACGCCGGGCTCGATTGCTACAGAAAACACAAACAAGTTCGCTCGCTGGACCTGAAGCGACTGTTTAACCAAAAGACCTCCAGTTTCTTACCCAAGTGAAGCCGATGCAGGCGATAGCTCCCGACAAGATGTCTGCCAGAATGCCTGGGTAGGAATTAGCCGTTGGGTAAAATGCGTGGAAATGCGGCGAATGCCAGTGCGTCACCTGAACGTATAAAAACGAGAGGATGAAGAGAAAGTGGGTGTCAGGATGATCCTCCCCCTCGGCACGACGGCCCTCACCCCCGGCATGATGACCCTCTCGATGTCCGAGAGGACTGCGGACCAGGGCTCGGGCTCCCTCGGGGCCTCCTCCGGCAGCATCCCCCGCATGTACCCCGGCTCCACCGTGGGCAGGACCCGGCGGTCCCGGATCCCCTCGAGGTAGTCGATGACGTAATCGATCATCTCCCGCGCCGCGGTGCGAAACGCCTCCGCCTCCATCCCCGATGCCCTGTCGAGCCCTGCACGGCGACGCACTTCGTGACCTATGGGGGAAGCGGCGCGTGAAATCGATGCGCTTGTCGAGAGTGCCTTGACTTTCGGTGACAAGGCCACGCGTCGTCGTCGTTTCCTCGCAGCAGATGCACTCGAATAAACATGCGGAAGAGAGAGGGGTCAGATGACATTAAGATTTCGCTGTGCTCTGATATGGTCGTCGTGGGAGACCATAATCTGATCATTTGATCTCAGGCACAGTAGCTACTCTGCGAAGGAAAAGGTAAAATTCGCCTGTCGCGCTTGTCCCTCTCATTCGCATTTAACATCCGCTCCCAGACACGCGTATAGGAGAACTCGCGAATTCCATCATCTTCAAAATACAGATCTTTAGTTTTTACCATAACACATTGACCCGCCCATCTCGCTCACCCCCGGGTCAAGAAGGGTCTTCCAGATAACGCATCCACCCCCAGGTCCTCTAGGGGGGGGGGGGGGGGGGGGGGGGGGGNNNAACGCCCCCCCCCCCGGGCCCTCGGGGGGGGGGGGGGGGGGGGGGAACGGTTGCTCTTACCTTCGTCGCGTGGTTATCCATTTTACTTCTATCATGGGACGCAGAAACCGGTCCTCATCTGTTCCCATAGGACAGCAAACAAATTACTACTCCGCACTCTCTGCGGCATGCTTCGGTAGATATTGAACTGAGGTGTGCACTCCGACCTATGCCCGAGACATTTATTCCACTGCGAAACTTTATGCTTTCTACGTACTAGAGAGGCCCTTTAAAAGCATCACGTACCGCGATGGCAAGGATAAAATTATGAAAACCACTTAAAATATAAAAATGGCAAGCATAGAGAAGAAACCTCAGTACGAATCTCACCCACAAACTGCTGGAGAGCCCCGAGCGCAGACCTCCCTCCTCTCACGGCAGTAGAGCGACGACTGCCAGGGTGAACGCGGTGGGAAGCCGAGGAGGGGGGCGGGGAGGAAGGGGAGAATGAATCCCGCCTCAGAGTGTCTGATTGAATGGGTGATATGGTGAAGGAATCTCTGCTCCCCCGCTCGTTGCCATGGCGACGTGGGAGGCTGACCATTTTTCTCCGTCATCACTCACTTGTTGCATTATTCTGATCGTCACTTAGCCGCCTTCGCGCCCGTTGGAGGGAAGTGCACCATCGACGATGGGCTTCGTTGCCGTCCACGAAGCCATTGAAAATGCTCGATCGATCTCGAACACACGAAGCCGAATTCCCTGCGAGTTAAGGAGGTTCCCATTCTAACTCGAGCAGATTCCGGGGGACGATCTTGCGAGGAACGCGAGGGAAATTTTTCGACGTGAGGCGATGTTTCTGCAACGGTCGATGAGAGGCGATTTTCGACCCCGTTTCGACGCAACATCGAAAGCGAACTCGATCGTGGAACCGAACGGATGAAGTCCCTCTCGCTTTCCGACGCGTTTCCTGCGTGTCCTGAGAAAGGGGTTTGGAGGAATCGTATAGAGATCCAGGCGAGGCTGGAACTTTGCGACGTGCGAAGTATTCGGAAGGAGCAAAATACCATGCATGCAAGGAAGACCTAAACCATACAACCAAGGAATTTCTAGAGTCGCCCTAGCGACTCTCAGGGCGACTATCCAAATTTGGGCGACTTGAGGGTTTCCCACACTCCCAGGAAAGCGGCTTACCCTTAAGGCATGGGGTCCTCCGAGGACCTCGTTGGGTCTCATTCTAGGTCGATGTGGAATTCACGAGTCACTCGGGTCGAACCGAAGAGAAAAGCAGGATCAAAGGCAATGTTCCCTGCCTTGTTCCTCGCGAATGGAGCCCTGTGCATTGCTCACGTCATCACGTCTGTGAGCGCCGTTCGGTCGGAGCTGGAATTATGCGTGCACATGCGCGATTTAGACGGCTGACGATTGCATTCCGAAGCACCCGAATGATAAGTATCCGCGACACAGTGCGTTCCTCGACAGAAAAGGGAAAGGAAAAATGCAAAAACGATAACTCCCCGGCAGGGAATCGAACCCCGGTCTCCCGCGTGACAGGCGGGGATACTCACCACTATACTACCGAGGATCACGTTCTATTCGCTTATCGAGCAGAGACAATCTTTCTTCGAATTCAATCTGCCTAAAAGTTCCGCTTTTCAATTTCAAGTAAACAACGTCCATTTCCTTCAAGTTTCTGTCGTATTGCCACGGAAGTGCGATCTAATTTCGCCCCTCTTCCCCATACCACCTCCTCTTTGATACTTCTCAGCAGACCAGTCCGCATTTCCAAAGATCTAAGTGATTCATCTCACACATTTAATAGGAAACGTCAATTCTGCCCATTCTCTACTTGAACCCCATTTTCACTTTTGCAAATGGTTTCCCTGTAAAATCTATGACTTTAACTTGTGTTTCTGAGTCGCGTAGACGGACTTCAGGTGTTTAACTTGGATTGCAATGTGCCAAATGGACTTAATCACGAGACCGTGAGCCCCGCGACGACAGTGCGAGAAACCCGAGATCATCTCGACGCCAGACAACAAAGAGTTACCTATTTTGGAGAAGGGGGGACGTGGACACAACGCTAGGCGTTCGAGTTGCAGATATTCCGAAAGCATTTCGGGAAGCGCGTCTCAGATCTGGACCCGCGACGGATGCTCAACGCAGTGTACGAACGACGTCCGTGCTGAGGGCATATTCGACTCGACATATTCGATTGTGAGGCTCTTATGTAGAATGTTAGGCCTCAGACACGCAAGAGGAGACCGGAAGCTCCTCGAGATGCAGAATGCAGAAAGTATCTTCGGTGGACCCGAATCTCGAGTCTCCGCGACAAAAGGAATGAGGAAAATGCAAAAAAAAAACCTTCTCCCCGGCGGGGAATCGAACCCCGGTCTCCCGCGTGACAGGCGGGGATACTCACCACTATACTACCGAGGATTACACTACACAATGCCAGTAGCGGTTCGTGACATGCAGCGGTATACGACTCTCATGGGAGGCAGGGTATGCACGGGCCTACCCTGCCCCCAGAACTCCGTAACTGTTCCGTAAACTGCAGCATATCATGGGTCACTACTCATGACGATTCCTACTAAGTTACGGTCGACTCCACTTCGCTTAATTCAATACCATTGCGCGGTCTCGATGTTATTAATGCATAATATGTAGGGCTGTACCGGTAGCAACATTAGGCCGGTGGGCCGATTTTTTCTCAAGACCATCGGCCGGTGCCGATGCCAGTTGTGGCCTGTGGAAAAAATCGCCTGTAAATTCAAATAGGCCTGATTGGAAACCGTGTGATACTCATCAGTAGGCCTCCCTGAAACGATAGAGATCGCTTTCGGTCCTGTGCAGCTTGTCTGTCTCTCAATGCTTCTGTCCGTGGTTAGCTCGCTACCCATTGCAGCAGTTGAGAGTATTTAATGACATCCCTTGCAAAAGCATGACGGAAATGGAGATGCAATGATTTCTCGTTCCTTACCGCTATTTTCCTCTGCCGGTTCCTATAATACGGCTGTTACATAATCCGATCGATATTTTTGCCTGGGAGAAGCTGGCAGGAGTGGATTTCAGTGAGACATGAGGGCCGGCGCCGAGGCACGTTCGTCCTTCGAGCACCGGCACCGGCACCGGCACCGGCACCGTTGCCATAGGCCGATGGCCGATGGTGCCGATAGTGCAACATCGGTGGCCGATACCGGTGTTAGCCGATACTTCGGTACAGCCTAATTATATGCACGAAAAACATCACATGAAGGCATAGGGCTTTATTTTTAAGCTGAATATCCCGCTTAAAGGGAAATTTATTTATTTATTATGTAATAATTGTTTTACTATATCGTCCAAAAACAAAAACGAAATGTTCCTTTTCCGTGTTTTCGGAAAATCCTCACCTGCCACTTGACTTTTCCGTGAGTCAAGAAAAAAAGGTGCAACAAGCAGTTTAAAATATGAATGTGCAAAAGCAAGTATTGTATGACATATATTAATTACAAAAACACATAATAAATAATTACAAAAAACCTGCTAAAGTATGAAGAAGTACATTACGATGGTTTCGGTTTATGGGATACTCCGGATAATAGAATAAAGTATGCTGTTCCTTAGAAAAGAAAATCCAATGTGTGGGGTCAATTGTACTTTTCCTCGAAAAATCAGCCAAGAAGTTCCTATTTACCTCCGGGGCAAGGGAATGTCCGCTCTAGGCAGGAAGTGTTTCTCCTCCCCTTTTGTCCCTTTTTCCATACGGCAAACGGCCAGGCAGACTCCACAAGAAACCCCGTTTTCGCCTTAATCGGAATTGCCGTTGAAAACTTTTTTTTCCCTGAGTCAGGAAGGCGGAGTTTGGGTGCTCAAGATGGATTGTAATGAGGTACGTAGACAGCATTGTGACTAGAGCCGCGCGAATTCCGCGCCGAAACATCACGGAAGGGCATGAAACTCAGCACAATTTTACGATTCCTCCGAATTTTCACCTGGCATTCAGACCCTCAAACCTGATACCCGTAGTGCCGTCGATGATAGGCCCGGTCGGCGGCCTTGTATCGATCTTCGTCGAAGAAAACGTCTAGATTCTCGGCGAGCCACCCGAGGAAGCGATCGTAGTGGACCGTGAGGATCCCCTCGGCCCGCAGCTGGGCCAGTTTCATCATGGGGCGGAGGTTGACGAAGGCGCGGGCGAGGTGGACGACGCCGTAGAGACGGCTGGCGGGAGTGGAGGGGTGGGCCCTCCGGATGTCGGCGTATTGGGTCCGCTCGAAGCGGAAGAGGAGGTGGAGGGGGAGGGTGACGTCGAAGTAGCGCTGGAGGCCGTGGATCGACTCGTGGTGGATGGGGTCGGGGGTTGCGGCGAGGTAGCGCTCCAGGATCTCCTCCACGGTGGGGTTCGCGGGGAGTTCCAGGAGCTTCCGTCGATTTTGGATCATGTCCCAGTCGTCCGTGAGGAGGGTCCGCAGTTGGACGGGTAACGTGAAGTTGTTCCCCGGTTGCGCTGCTATATCCAGTAGGGGCTTCCAGTCCGCTCCGATTACTTCGTAATCCGGTTCTGGAGACTTTGGCTCCGGAGCCGGACGATGGACTTGCTGCTGCTTCTTCTTCCTCCTCCTCTTCTTTCCCCATGCTGCACCAGCCTTTCGCATCCCGTTTGACTCAGGCCTGCCCTTGATTATCGCCAGGAGTTCCAATTGTTGAATTGGCGACTTCAGCGCCATCTTTCGACTCTTGTTGTCACTAGGGCATGATGGCTGCGCTGGGCGCTCGTGGTGTGTCATGCTGTCCATTGGGCATTCGAGTCGTGTCCCTTATTCGTGTTTTGTCGTCTGGATTTCTAATTTTACGTTACTTTGAGTTCGTGTAGGATCTGGGCGTGCCCCATTCATATAATTCTATCGGGTAGTTGCATTCAACATTTTCTTAATGTAGCCCTAACTTTATATTCATTCTTTTACATGTGCCAGTTGGGTCGAGTGTCACGAAGCTTTTGTGAAGGATAGGCCCTGGCTTACATAGACCTGGCGTCCACCGACGTTGGGGAATGTCAGCATACAAATCCCCATCAAAATGGAAGAGGGTGATTGAAAAACATAAACTTGAGAAGTTCATCAAGATGTGCTTGAAAGCGTGCGAGCGTGGGACCCAACTGTCTGAGGTTCGAGACGCCAAGGGCGAGACTCTCCTGCACATGGCGTGCAGAGCCGATTGTGAAGACATGGTCAGGTATCTCATCTTCAAGAAGCATTGTGGACCCAGGGCACTGAACCGTAAGGGGGAGACGCCCCTGTTCATTACAGTCAAAATGTTCTTGAAGGCTCTTTCTAGACGAAAAAGAATTGCAACTTCAGTTCCTCCTGGTAAGTCTTGATGCTAGCATCTGAAAAATTTTGCAAGTTCTAGCTTTAATTGACATTCTAAACAACTTTTTTCTTCATCACACCTAGGTGCAAACATCATTAAGCTTCTCCTTCTTGAAGATCAGAGGGCAGCAGGGATACCAAACAAGGAGAATGTATCTGCTGATGACCTGCTGAAGAAAGCAGAGAAAATTTCAGGGATGAAGTTTGCCAGGTCTACCCAGCAAGGCCCTTCCATGCCAGAGGACACTTGGTTTGATAAAATCAAGGCTGAAGCTGAAGATGAATATGGCAGGGCTTGGGGCTCATATGAAGAAGGTGAGTTGCCAGTCTATCCTTTGATGGAATGGGTGATCCATATGTTTTCTTCTTAGTATTTTTGCATTCATAAACTACTGCACTCTACTTTGAGTGAATGCTGGGTAAATCTTGTAGACCATTAAAATAATATAAAAATGGGGTCAAAACAAAAAGTCCCTCCCCATGCAAAATGATCATGGAAAGTCTCACAAGGACACATATGGAAATATCTGTAGACTTGTGGTTTTATATCAGTCTCTCTGTCATCATGTGTGCTTGGCTCAGGATGCTGAAAGTCCAGTGCCAGGGTTGCTCTGAATGTAGTTCCTTTCTTTGCTTCTATATTTTGAAAAGTAGGAAAGGTATTATAGCCTTTACATTTGTTCCTGGAACTTTCTTAATTGACTCTGATGGATGTACAGCAGGGTGATTAGTTTCTCATTAGCCTCACTCATGAACAAATGTCAGTGTTGAAGTGAAATTATAGCATGTGACTCAAGCTTAAAAGCATCAAAGTAATTCTGAAAATAAAACTTGTCTATTTTTTTTTATCACACTATCTCTCTTGTAGATTTCCTGATGGGTAGTACATCAAACCATGAAACCTATGATGACTGGGCTGACAGGATCATAGAGGAACGTAAGAAGAAGTTTCAGAAATGCTATCCAGAAAAGCAATCAGAGCAAACAAAGAAAGAAAAGGCTCCTTCTTGGACAGAAGAAGACCAGAGAAGATGGGAAATGGAGCAGAAACTGAAGGAAGAACACAGACAGGAAAAGAAGTGGAAGAGCCTGGGAGTGTTGTACGATCTGCAGTGTGAGACAATACAGGAGCAAGTTACAGCGTTCTCCATGTCAGACTTCCCCCTGTTCACCCAACACCCCATTGAAGATCTTGAGAAGATGCTGGACTTCAGAACCAAGACTATGAGTGCTGAAGAACAAAGACGTTTTGTCATGAATGGGCTACGGCTATGGCACCCTGACAAATTTTCACGTCATTTCAAGGCTGAACTTGAAGCTGGTGATGAAGAATTCAAGTCCCTCATTCTGAGAGTTCAGGAGTTTTCAAAACTCCTGAATAGTCGCAAATGATGTGAAAGAAAATAGTTGATTAAGAAATGTGTTCAGAATCATCTGTGATAATAAAAATATTTTTTGGCTACTAAAACTGAACATGTGAGAAATGTCATTCTATGTAAATGAAATATATTCAGGACAAACTTAAAGTGACATTTTCATATGTAATGAGGGTGTCCATTGATGAAATGTAGTCTTCAATCAATAGGAATATGTTTCTTAACCCCTTCACCTGCAGATTTTCCAACAATGTGGTATCCTTCACTGGGAGGGTTTTTTTCTAAGTTAACTATTGATATCTATATGCCAAAATCTGCATTGAAAAGCAGGGAGTCACCATTCATAGAAGGAGACAACCATTAGCAAGAGTTGAACTAATTCCCACATGACTACACCAACCCAAGAAATTTTTGGGTTTACAGTTAGAGGTTAATTTCATCCTTCACCTTATCACCTGATAGTTAATCGACAGCTTTTGCACTGAAGGTAACCAACAAACTTGTCAATTGCTTTCCTCAAAAACAAGATACAGTATGGTAAGCACCCCGGTTTCTGGCTGGTCTTGTTGGCCAGTGAGGCTTAAAGCATAATTAGTTCATCTGGCCGTTTTAGAGCATTCCATTGACATCTTCCTGTACAAAGACCTATTACTGTTTCCCTGTGTGTGCACAGGGTGTCAACTTCCCATGGGAGTCATATCAGTGTGGCCAAAGACTGTGGTGTTTACCCTACCTAACAATAGCATAAAAGGAGGAAACATGGAATAAGTTGATTGACTTATACTAGTGTTCCATATGACGATATGTCCTTTTTCTTTAAATTATCCTGATCACATTTCATATGATGCAGAAATATAATTACTAAAAAAAAAGAATAATGTAAGTTACAAATAATATAAATAAATGAATTTATATACATATATACATGGTATATGCCACAAGGTATTTTCAAACTTATTAAAGTTAATGGAGATTATTATTTTTCCAGTGATGGATTTTTTTGTACTACTATCTAGTGATGTCACAATTTATAGTGAGCAATCAATAGAGTGATTAAGGGTTGCTTTTAGATTTTAAGGTAGCACTTGAGCATTGTACGCAAACCCTCTAATTTTGCAAAATCAGAAAAATCCTATTCAAGATGAAAACCTGAAAAAGACACCTGGAAATCAGCTACTTAGCTACTATAGGCAAACCAAGGCTCATTGCCATTGTTTTGCAAACATCCTGAAATCTCCATTGACTTTTTAATTTAAATTTTTGAAGGTATTAAAATGATTAATCCCTTTGTCATTTCCTCAGAAAAATTTGAATGCAAATATTAACTTCTTGCTTAATTCTTCTAGGCAAGAAGTTATAAAACATGCATCACATTATCTTTGAACAAGCTGACAGTACATTTGACCCTTAGAAATGCAGCAATTCTCAAAGTCAAGTGTTCTGTCAGTTAAGATGAAGTGCTGATTCAATTTGGTTAAGGCCACACAAGCCCATCCAAGTTGTCATGCAACTTCCTGTTGTGTTACACCCTCCTGGAGCATTTTCATCACCCTGTCCCTTTCTGAACATTATATATGGCATGGAGGAAACTCAATTAGCTATTTTCCTGACACGGCATTATGTACGGCACTCAAAGGTTGGCAAGTAAATGCTAATAATGTTCAAAGCAGTGCTGTCTTGTTAAGCAAAGGACAGACATAATGCCATTACAACTCCTACTACATGGGTGAGCTTATCTTGTGTGGGTGAACATTATCTTGTAACTTTTCTTTTGGATGCCAGTTTATTTTATGTTCAGTATCAGTAATATTTTCCACATTCTATAACATTGACTATTTGCAATCCCCAGCATTTTATTCAAAAACATTAGAATCACACTAGTAACTCAATGCAAATATTATGGATATCACAATGGAAATAAAAATGGTCCAACAGCAACAAACAAAAGAAGATATTGACTATACCCCATTTTTAACTTGTGTGCTCCTGGCAGGACAAAACTTACTTGTCCATGTGTCCAGTTGGTAAGTCCAATGAGATGGATTGAAAAGTATAACATAAAATATCAACAGCATAACAGTGTTACTTTGCATTTTGTTACATGGCAATACGAAACAAGGTTCATAGGATTTCCAAGTTAACTCCAGGTGAGCCAGTGAGCATGCTAACCAGGAGAGTAGCATGCAAGTTTATAAGCTTATCCAGGTTTGCCAGAAATGTTGAGGAAAGCTTCCATCTGACTCAAAAATACATCCCTGCAGTTCCAAAAAGGAGTGTTATTTGTTTTTCAAAAGAAAGGAGGCTTGTTAACTTTTTTCCCTCTTAACCCTCTTCCCCTCCCATTTCACTACCTTTAGGGTAATGTATATCTTCCATTTTCTCTCATGAGAATCTTTTTCCTAATTTGGTCAACTCACCAAATTTTCTTCTAATGTATAACATCAGATCATCATTTCAATAGAGATACAAGTTCATATTACCCAAACTACAGTTTGCATCAATTGATGATTTCAAAAATGTATAAATCAGGAACAATTTAACTTATGAAAGAGATCATATACACATGCATAGACTCTGGTACTACATCAATAACATAGAAATAGCCCATTTAGTGTCTCAAAAATGACCCATGGAAAGGATGCATTCCAAAGAAGCAAACTTGTCAATCATTTTTACATGAGCTCATCTCCACTCCTCTCTCTCAGAGAGTCATGAAGGTCAACTCCTTGTTCATTATTGCTCTCTGTGCAGCTGCAAATGAAATATTAAACTTTCCCCCCACTGGAACTAAAATCCTGGTTTGCCTCCAACTGATCCAGCAAGTTGAGTTTGATGTTATTTTAACGAGCTCCTCAAATCTGCTAAATTTCATTTATGTCATAATACCACAATATGCAAGGTAATAAAGTAATGCAATTACTCAAAGGAAAATATATCTTAGGTATTCAGCTAATATGCTCAATTTGTCTGTCATTATACTCTGAAATCAATAGTGGAAACTTCTAGAAAGAGATATGAGGAACAGTACAAGTCAGCAAGAGATCCTGCTTGCTGGAAGAATTTTCCAACCATGACAAAACCAAGCTGAATAGCAAAGTAAAATGAGTCAGTCAGTCTTGGGGCCCCTTCTGTTCCGCCGCAAGGATGAACCTTTTTCGTGGATGGCACCAGCATTCCTCCTGGGACTGAGATGTGGGGCATTGTACTGTTCCACATTCTCAAACTCAAATGTCATAAGATTTGGAATGTTAGTTGTGTCCTTCACCAGGAAAAACTTGCATATTGGCCTGTAAATAAACATAATGTCCCAGTTGATCTTTCACTTTCAGTGAGGAATACATCTACAAATCTATCAGGGAAAAAGTGAACTAGATCCATCACATACCAATTGGCAATAACAGGAAAAATAGGAGTGAAGAGGTAGTGGACTAGTCCAAACCAGATGACACCTAAGGCAATTCCTACCCACACACCCATCATGACTTGACTTGTAGTATGGTAGAGCAGATATACCCTATGAATGGGAAACAAAAAAACTTTTGACACATTAGCCCATTGCTCTTAGATTTATAGGCACCTTCCAACCATCAATCTCAACCTCAGAGGAAATGATAAATCAAAGGTGTATAAATCATGCTGAGAAGAAATGATTACTTACCTACTGTAGGACACAGCAACAGCCATCAAAAGGCATGATGCACAAGTTGCACCCTTCCAGAGAATGTCAAGGAAGGTTTGTCTGGTATTGTTCATTCTGCAAAAGAAACACATGCAAAAAAAAAGTAATTTATGAGGCCTACCTATATTTTACAATAACAGGAAATCAAGTTACAGATGACATGGGCATTTGATGCAAGTCTGCATTTAGGCAAAGACACCCCCTGCTGGCATGTAGACTGGTTTCCCAAAGGGGGGTTGTAATGTTTTGTAAAAACATTTGATAAAAACAGAGTCACCTTCCCTCTTCCATAATCACCACTTGATTATCAAGATGAGATGTGAGAACAAATATTTTTTTTGCCAGAATTTGCTTTCACATGATTCCTAGTCCCCAGGTCAAAATTCAATACCTTACATCAATTCTTATTCCCTAAGGTGGGGACTCTTCTCACTTTCCTTGTCTTGGTAAGTTTCCAGCAATGTCTACATCAACTGTGTTACTAGTTCATATAGTGTTTTCAGGCAGACTCTTCTGCCTTTAACCACTGAGTCCATAATCCTCTAGAGTCCTACAGTTAATTTTCTGGAGAAGCCACCCTGCACTCAAAGAAAAACTTCCCCTCACACCTTTATTACCCCCCTTTATGGCATTTTAGGATTCTTTTGTTAAGTGCCTTGGTCAGGTGTGAGGGGTGAAGTCAATCTGCATACATTGTACATTAGACATACAGAATTACATCATCACAGCAAATTCAGTAAGGGACTGTAAGAAAGATGTGTGATATGGTGAGAACCCTTTTCTGAATTATTTTATTTCATGATTCTCTTTTCACTTGTGAAGGATGGAAATTAAAGATTTTATGAGACCTTAGTAAGGGGCTGTATGAACTAACCAAGTTTGTGGTTCAATTGATAGGCTTATGGCCTCTTCTAACAGCATACATAATACATAATTCAGCACCATTCACAAGTAATAAAAAAATAACTCCAAAAAGTATTTTTCAGATGTAAAATTCAACATCACCACATGTCCATGTGGCATGAGTATAAAGGACAGAAGAACTCTGACATTATACAGGGTGGGTAAAAAAAAACCGGTCCTCTACTTTGAAACCTTATATCTCGGTCCCAAATTGAGCTAGAATAATTTAACAAAAATGAAATGAAAGTTCATTTAATTCGCTTTCCAA